TAACTCGTCCAATTGTTTTGATAATTCATCTTTAAGCGGATAAAACGAACAAATTTAAATTAGGAGAGAAAGTTAAGTGAAAGAACGTACCTGGTTTTTTGCCACGAAGTGCCGAGCATTTAACACGTGTCATTTTGATGACTGAGAGTGATTGTAGTGCAAATGAATTGATCTGAAGTTAATGACACAAATCTCGAGTAAACATTTCTATTATCGTCATTTGGATTATGAGTATCGTCTCGCATCCAAAATACGAAAACTGTTTCGTTTACGATAAAATCGATATTATCATTTATCTTTAATCTCGTAAAAGATTCATCGTCTGTCAACCAATATATAACACAAAATAGGAAATCAAAAGATATAAGAACACAATCGAAAATTAATTGTGAATGCATTTATCTCTACCACGATTATTATGATAATCAATTTCTTTTTTTTAGTATTGTTAGTAATAATAGCCTATCGGCAAATTGACATATGTTAAATTTATCGAAAATAAACTAGTGTTTTTTTTTATTATAAGCTTCAGTTGTCAGGTTAATTAGCGCAGAATTCCATGTAGAAATAAATATTAATAACCTAACTAATTATCATTGATACTACATCGATCAGCACGTGTTTGCAATTGATTAAGCCGATTATATAAATGTGTTGTAATGATGATGATATACATTATTGTAGTGATCACTAATTATATTTAGATGATTTTCATTTATTTTCATTGAATGTATATATCGTGTTTGAATCTTCGTATTCAAAATAATGATATAGATCTTTTGAGATATTAGAAGACCTAATAAATCTTAAAATATGATTAAATCGACCGTTTTAAATCAAGAAATATAAAATGTATGCCAGTTATAGTTAAGTAGCAAAAGATTGAAGATATTTACTAATAATCTTAACCCAGTGTTTAATATTTATCTTATAAAAATGAAAAAATCGTACACCATCACTTATCCATCTAATATTCTTTTTTTGCTTCACTTTCTTCACCTTCACTTACCTAGCGTAGGTGCTAACATCCATGCAAAAAAACAAAAGCGAGCATGATCTAAAACGCAGCAATAGAAAGATGGCAATGACAAATGGCGAAAAATTTGATAACCCGATGGCGTAAAACTTATACAAGGAACTGAAAACATCAATAACAACAACAATAGGGTTGCAGAACATAAAGGTAATTTCGCGTTAAGTTCAGACTTTATGAGCGATTTTTACCGTTATCAGCAAACGAGAAAAAGTTATTTTAACATGAGAACGTGCTTTAGAGTTTGCCTTACCGAATAAACTATAAGATCAGATGGTCTTGAGGAAGGAGGGATATAGTAGAGCTGACTGTCGGTCACTTTTACACTCTAGTGAACGCCGTGATGAGCTAATTATTAGAATGAATAAAAAGACCGTTTTGTATAATAGCGTAAAACATGATCTCTATATAATAAAGTATTATATGTACAAAAAGAAGATAATAAAAAACACAAGAACTATAGTACACGTAAAACGTAAAAAATTAGCATGTGCTTTTCTTTCAGCGTAAATCACAACAATAAAACAAAAACCGGAGCGAAAACACATTGTCTTATTTGAGAGAGCTATGTACATACACACACACATACAGACAATAAAAACAAGTTTCACAAAACAATTTTCTTGATTATAGTTACACACACAAAGATGAAAGAGAAAAACCGGTTGAATGTGAAGAAAATATAACTCAGATATATGTTGTATTTTTAATTCCTCAGTAGTTAGTTACTTTAACAACGAAAGAGAAAGAGAGAAGTGAATTTTGAATAAATAAATTAAACAAAAATTGACGAGCAACGGCTATTTTTATGGATACAATAAATATTTATGATACACTTGTAATGGATTGTGTTGGACCACGCATATGTTGTAAAACATTATCTAACCATTTCAATGGACCATCTAAATGAATTTCAACCCAACATGGTGTACATGTAACAGCTTGACGTCTAAATACAGACAATAACATTAATTATGACTAAATGTAATAGTATTTTTGTTCATATACCTATATTCGACACCCCATCCTTTCACAAAACTCATTCGTATGATACACATTTTTGTTAAATGCCATACAGCTTCATAACCTTCACTTATTGCATTATGTAATGTACGAGTAAAATCAGCGCTATCAAATATTTTTAAATTACGTGCTAAAGTAAATGAAAAATAAAGATTAGCCACAATAGATCGTTCTTCGATTCGCTTTTCAGAACGAAAGTCAAAAGATAGACCACTTATAAACGTCCAAGTAACGCGGATATTCCCCAAGTAAAAAACACTATTCAAAAATATGTTACATACTCGGTGGAATTTTGCATACAGTAGCTTGATGCCAACTGTATCGTTGATTGCATATAGGACTTTGTACAAATACCGGGTTATCAGATATACATTCAGCATAAACATCACCTCGTATGTGATATAATCGAACACCACGACCTAGTAAATCAACAATATAGAAAACAAACTTAGATAGAGAAAAGACAAAAACGCGTACCAATAAATCGTCTTGCTTTATCAATTTCAAAGGTTCGATGAACATTTGTCAACAATCCCAAACAAAATCGATCAGCATTTGATGGATCGGTAAAGCCATCAATAACAACGTGTGGCTGAGTAGCACGAAATTGTTCACCAACGCGATTTGACATTTCATAATACGAAATATGACACCATTCATGAGGCTCTTCAAATGGAACTTGTTCATAGGCTGAAAAGAGATAGATCACAGAATGATAAACAATAGCAACAGATAACCTAACAGTAGATAGCATTTCAGTATTCACAATATGAGCTTTCCTTCTTAACTTACCTAATGGCGTTGGCGTACCGCCGTTTGAAGTTGCATAGATTTGTTGTTGTTGTTGTGGTAAATGATTACTACCATTGTTTAGTGGAAGAAGTACAGAAGATAAAAAGTTTGTTGATGCTGCTGTATTCGAAGCACCACTAACATGCGGTGACGACGCTGTTGTAGAAGTAACAGTGTGTTGTGGATTAGACGTTGGTTCATATCCACCAATATCCATAGACATTGATGTTGATAGTGGATCATGATAACAACTACCATCGTCACTGGATATACCAGGTGAATCTTAGAAAGAAAGAAAGTCCTTTTCAAAATCTACAATAATGGTTTTATATTGTGTGAACAATGGAGGCTACGAGACGATGATCAACGCAACTCGTAGTACTATTAGTTCATTTGTTTTCTTTAGCGATCTCACAGCGAAAGTCTGTTTAAACAAAACGTTAAATAGAACATCAACGTAGTGCTAACAACAAATTCAGAAAAAAACTTGACTTGTAATGAGTGTGAAATCGCTCTATATTTAATAGAGTCATACCTTGTGAACTAATGCTAGATGGAGATTGTGCAAATGATGATGATAATGGTGATTGTGATTGATCTAATGGTTGATACGTTGTATTCTCAGGAATTTGACCTGATGAATATTCGTCCATCATCGATGACTTTAATTCGGGAATAGCACCCATTGGTAAACGAGGAACATACACGGAATAAGTGGCTAAAATAAAAAAGAGTAGATGATTTTAGAAGAATGAGTTCTATACACAATTTCTTTCTTCCATCAAAAACGCATTACAAAATTACTTAACAGTCAGTTGCACAGTTGATAAACAACTACTACCACTACCACAAAAGCAGATAAAAAATGAGGCTAATAGGTTGCTATTACACAGTCGACCAAGATGAACAAAGAAAGAAAAATGAATAGTTTAATAAAAAGAAAAAAATATGCGTTCTCTTCTGTATTGCTTACATCTTATACCCAATCTATTTTCAGCTGGATAAAGACATACCAGGTACTCGTTCATAATGATATGGATTGATGCATAAGTCATCTTTTCGGTAATGATAAGCATATATACAATGATCCATTGGTTTCAGTTCATTATGAGATGTTAAATCTGGCCAACGAAATAATTTACAATAAATAACGACTGCATTTGATTTATGTTGTTGAATTTGTAGACGACCATCCAATGAACTAAAGATAAAAATTAACAGTCACCTATAACGTGGATCTTATCAAACTAATTATGATTTGATAACTGTGTTTGTGGCATACTCACCGCTGTATACAAACGCATTTAGTTCCTGAATTTTTTAGTGATATCGCGCGTTCTAATTCTTCAATCGAACTGCCGCGTTTCAATTTTTTAACTAAACTTCGAATAGCTTTTTCAGCATAACGTTGTTGTTCATCACTGGTCAAATTTGAATCATCCATACCGTTGTCATTGTTATTATTGTTGACGACATTTACTCTTAATGCCATCAGACGTTTGATAATAGGCGACATCGAACGATTTTTTCTCAATGAACTAAAAAGAGTTGTCAACGCATTTGACGTCGTTGAGGGAGATGTCGAAGCCGTCGATGTTGAAGATGACATTCTTCAGTGAATTCTTATTTTTTAAGCTGGATTAATTTTATATCAGCATAATTTTAGAGAATAAAAACACAAAAAAATAATTTGAAGTAAGAAAAAAGAAACAAAATAATTTGATCTAAAAGAAATAACATATGTTTTTGAATAACAATGTTGGATTATTGGCGGACTTAAAATGATGTAATAAACACAACAGACAAGATTTTCATCTATCTATCCAGTGACATTGCATATAACGCTTAACATAATAATACACAAAACTATTCAAAAACAAACAACTTTTGAATAGATGAGAGGACAAGCTTGCATTCTTGCTATCACACGTTCAAATTAACATTCAGCTTACAACTAGCCATTCTACAACAAATACATGAAAAGTTTAACATATCTCTTATATTCTCGTGTTTCTGTTTTCTTCATATTCCGTCCATTTTTAGATAGTACTGAAAAATGGTTGTAAGCTAAAGAATCTTTAATATTTGGAAACGAGTTAAATCGATCTTGCATGGAACAACAAGATCAACTACAATGTTTCCAAGGTTTTTTTTATTAACGTTAAAAATCGATTTAGTTTTAAAACACAATAGTCATTTTACTCTGCTCTCTCGCATCAACATACTTCTCCATTTATAAAGGTCTGATGAATAAAACAACAAAAAAATTAACAAATATTTTCATAAAACTCGATATGAAAACGCTGTGATTTAATCAAATTACTTATTCTTCGATTCAGACCATTTATTGAATAAAATACATTGTATGAGGATAAATAGTCACAAGAATTTTAGTCGCAAGTGATCCAAATTCAAAAATAAACCATCAATGACTATTGCTAATAATCTAAAACGAAAAGACCTATAAATACAACAGACAAGATTTTCATCTATCTATCCAGTGACATTGCATATAACGCTTAACATAATAATACACAAAACTATTCAAAAACAAACAACTTTTGAATAGATGAGAGGACAAGCTTGCATTCTTGCTATCACACGTTCAAATTAACATTCAGCTTACAACTAGCCATTCTACAACAAATACATGAAAAGTTTAACATATCTCTTATATTCTCGTGTTTCTGTTTTCTTCATATTCCGTCCATTTTTAGATAGTACTGAAAAATGGTTGTAAGCTAAAGAATCTTTATTATTTGGAAACGAGTTTAGTTGATCTTGCATGAAATAACAAGATCAAATGCAATGTTTCCAAGGTTTCTTTATTAATGTTAAAAATCGCTTCAGTTTTAAAATACAATAGCCATTTTATTAGAACAATTTTAGAAGTTCTCCTGGATTCGATCTTCCGACCTTCATACGTGACACTTATCCAACTACGCATTTGCCCATTGCACTAAATTATGCAAAAGGAAACTACGAGTTATGATGATACATTTGTATGAAGACCGTATACTTCTATATATTTAAATAGTCTTTACAAGGAATCACTTAATTATTCTATTGTTCTAATAAAACATCTCTCCTATAAACATTTTAACTAATAGTCATTTTACTCTGCTCTCTCCCTCCCATCAACATACTTCTCTATATTCTCTATTTGTAAATATCTGATGAGTAAACAAAAAATAAAACGAGAAAAAATTAACAAAAGACAGATTCGAGAAAGATAAATATACACGAAAAAATAAATATATACACACATATTTTATCTGTAGATAGAAAAAGAAACTCATTTCGTCTCTCTTTCGTTCTTTGTTTCACACTTTATATTACACTGAATATGAGAATTCTTTTTTCAATATAAGAAAAATAAATGATAAAACAATTGTATGAACAAATTTTCTACGGATGAAAGACTATGAAACTGTTCAGATATGTATGTCACCAACAAGGATAAAGAGAATAATGTTGAACATAAAAATGAAGAGGGAATAATTTGAAAATGATGACATCCATATCCGAACGTGTATTGTATTCAAGAAAAATAAAATAAATAAATAACTCGTCTAATCAAATTGCAAAGTGTCTCAAATTATTTATTGATATTGAAAATTAGGGTGCCAATGTTCAAAGCCCGGAAATGAATATAATTGGTCATATTCATTATAAAATTCTTTTGTTCGTGATTGTTGCTGTGCTGAATCGTTTGATGTAGTAACATTGTTGATTTTTCGTCGATGTTTCATAGAAGATGAAGACAAGGCTGCTGTTAGGTCAGATAAATGAAGTTCATGTTCCATAGTTAACATCATGTATTTTTCCCATTGCTTTTGTGTCGCTTTCATTTCTTGATATAAAATTGGATCATAAACTGAATCATCTATACGAGAATCAACGATCCAGCTTTCTTCTGGTGGAATTGTGACAGAACAAGACTGAATATTATCGAGTGAACTTCCATCGTTCGATATCATCGACGATTCTAATGACAACACATCGGATGATCTAAAACAAAACAAAAAACACAATAGATTAGTTGGACATATTCAATAATATTTCATATAGAAGGGAAGGTCTTTCAAGTAGATGAATGAGTTACAGTTATCACTTACTACAACTATACTAATAGGTTTTCTCAGAGTGAATTCTTACCTCAATGTGTCATCGTCAGCTTGACTTTGTTTTACATGATCTGATTGTTGTTTGTCGACTATCTTTTTTTTCAATTTTCTTTTCTGTTTTATTTTTACATCAGTACTCAGTTTTTTCTGTTTGACAACTCCTTTCTCCTTGGGCAATTCATTTTCATTCGCATCTTCTTGTGGTCTTGGACAAAGTAATAAGCCTTGTTGTGGTGACTGGTTACCCGACTCACGAGCTCGTAAAAAGAGCTTTTTACGCTCAGCAGATGGTGATTGTGTGGTAGACAATGGACGTTTTCTAACACTTGATGTTGAAGGAGAGACTGATGATAAGTTTTTTATGGCCATTAATGGTTGAAGAGTCGGCGACGATCTGAGTGATTTGGCTGTCAATAATGCTAAAATACAATTAAAAATATTGGTCAGCAAGAAAACAGAAAATGGTAAACTATTTCTTACCTGTTGTCGTTGCAGATGATTTTTGTTGTTTTGGTTTTAGTCGACTATGTAATTTGTTGTCATTATCACTACATTTTGTTAATGGCATCGTTGTCGATGTTCTCATGACACGTTCATTACTCATGTTCACACGTTTACCGATCGTTTCGTCTATCACCAGGTTAGTCGAAGCTTTTTTGTTTAAAACCTTTTTCTTATTTGACGTCGAAAAAGGATACTGTGATTGTTGCTGTTGTTTTTTCTTTTCTTCAACGAAGATTAATTTTGCCTTTTGACGATTTAATTCCGTTTCTAATAAATCTTTGCCACATTTACTATTAGTGACGGTAGAAATTTCAACAGCTGATTCAATAATGGGACTACTCTAAAAATATATAAACAAAAACAATCTTAAAGAGATAAACTAAAGTAAAGAAACAATCCTATACTTGTAAGAGAGACCGATATTCCGAATAATACACAAGTTGCGAGATATTATTTGTCTTGATGTAACTAGCAAAAAAGAATATAAAGGAAGTAATTTGGTGGCAAACGAGTAGAGTGACACACACTTCACAAACTAATCAAACCTTTTGACTGGTCACTCAACTTACAATTTCAATTTTTCTCCAATTACGAAAACAAGGCAAAACAGGTAAAAAAGATATTAAGAATTGATCGTAAATAATAGAAACAAAAGAGTTCTGAGAAAAAAAGTTGCATTATCGATGATTTAAAAATAAAAAGAATTTTCACTACCCTTCTGATCGCTTATTATTTAATCAGATATAAGCCAAGTGAATAGATATTATAAAACGAACAGTGTAATCAAACACTAGACTATGTTAGCAATTTCAAAAAATAAAGTTACTGTCAATCGAAATAAACAGCGCTGTGAAAAAGCAACAGTCAGTACACTTCAACTATTAGTCTGTATTAAAAAAAAAGATTCATTCTGAATATTAGTGATAGTTCTTTCGACCTCCGGATACTTAGTTAATTGACTTAACAGGAAAATGTTTTTCACTAAACCAATTTAGAGAGAGTTCTTTTTCAACACGTGCATAAAACTGTTACGACAAATTGTTAAAGATAATTTGTTTATCATTCGATTTAAAGCAAATAAAATACTTATTTCTCTTACTTCTTGTGCCAATACAACATCTGTTTTTGTTATTACGGAATCAGATTCCGTATTAATCAGTCTTCTCTGACGTGGATTATTCTCCGGTAGTGAAATCGATAACAATGGTTTGGGTTCGGCTAAAATGCAAGTTAAATTTTTATAAACATTATATTTTGAACTTGAGAAAAAACACTGAACATTTGATTGTTTTATTTTTATATCATCTTTTATAAAAAGTTTTGTATTAGTATTATTAGCACGATTATCTAACAGAATATCAGGTGTATAATAATACGAATCATTACTTCTGGTATTTTCATTGTATATTGGTGACGATAAATGTTTTTGAAGTTTTTTTCCATTTGAGTAATTGGATACATATGGATGATGTTTTTGTCGTTTACTTGCAGTATAACAAAATTGTTGAGGTTGTGAACATTTTTCATCAAAATTATAGCTTAAGCGTTTTCTCATTGAATTTCGAGAATGGTTTGGATAATTCCTATAGTCATTTCTGAAAGTAAAGAAAATCAATTATTAAAGTGATATAAAAACATCATTGTTAAAAAAGACAAAACTATCCATAGATAGTTTTGATCCATATAAATGTGAATCAGAAAAGCTTTTTATAAATAAATCATTTACTTGGTGCTCTTGCTAGATAGAGGGTGTTTAAAGAATGATTCTCATTTGTATGTGGCTAACGATAAAAGTTCGTATGATACATTTTTTTTCTTACAGTTTTGCAGAACGGTAGAATGACTACAATTTTAGAAAAAAACAAAATTTAACTTGCTATTTGATTTGGAATTTACTGCAAATACCTGTCAGTTTGCATTTCTTGCTTATTCCATTCATAATTATTATTTGATGATGATTGTTGAGTCGTTGTTTGTTGTTGCGACACCAGTGTATTTAAATTCACTACAGATTGTAAATTATTTTCTTCTGTGGATATTTTTATGTTCGAATTTTTAATATTAAACATTTGCACATGATGGTGGTGATGATGTTGGTGGTAGTGTGTCGACGAATTAGTGGACGTATCTGATGTCGGATAAAATGTAATGGAAGGTGGAGAATGTTTTTGCTCCGATGAAGAAGAATCAATATGTCTAAAGTCAATAGCGAAAACTGAATTAGTACTATGGAAACACATCAACTTTGCTTACCTATCGAGATTAACCAAGCAAGATTGTAGTGAATTATCATGCATAATTTCATTTGATGTTTGTTTAGTGAATGTTGATTTTCTGACGCTTGGTGGTGATGATGGTGTTTCATTGAATTCTTGATCGTCAATAAATAGTTGAGATGTGGTTGAAAGTTGAGTTAAAATTGAAGATGATGGACTCACAGAATCTATTGTTGATGAACGGTGAGGTGATGTTTTTTGTCGAGGAATGTTTTGTGAAATGTGAGATAAGAGAAGAGATGGAATTTGTTGTTGTTCACTTTGACGCCTTAAACATGATTTATAATAGTTTGGATGTGATGATGCAGTTGTCGTTGTTGATTGTTTTTGGACACAAACTGGAGATGGAGGGGATGCGGAAGCAATTTTCCATCGATGATCGGTATCGGATTGAAATGTGTCATCAGGAGGAGTACTCATCACACCATTATCAGTCTAAATTACAGAACATGCAGAACTGATATAGACAAAATACAGTCTAAACTTACACTGTTGAGTTTGAATTCTGGACTCAATTCGCTTTCATTTCGCACATTTATTCTTTCATCAACATCTCCTGTTGTTGTTTCAATGGAATGTGATGGTGATTCGAGTAGCGATATTCTGAAGTCTTCATCTTTCGGCTGTTGTTGTTGTTGTAGAGCTAATTTTTTATCGTATAATCTAACACCTGGCTGATACACGAATGAGAGAGTTTTGGGCGGAATAATAGAATATGAGTTTGAAAATTGTGGTGGCAGAACTGAAGGAGAGAAGAGAGGAGATGGAAAGGGAACGGTGAAACGAGCAGATGGAATATGTTGTTGTTGTTGTTGTTGTTGTTGTGAACGAGTTAAAAGGGAAGGAATATTGACTGATGGAGGATCAACCCACATAATGTTATTATAGTCAATAGCAACGAAAAGCGCGTTGAGATATCAGCATCAACGGCGCCTAGGGACACGAATAAATCTAAAAATCATATTTCGACATAAGCAATACAGCACTACAAACATCGTTACAGTTTTTTAGGACGACTAGCTGTAGGTAACAAGAAAGCATTTACTTTGCATTCTCAATCTCAACACATTCGCCATCTCAAACAGAAAACCATCTTTCGATATGAACTATTCTGTGATTCTAAGCACTTCCAGTTTACGCTGAAATTTTTGCAAACAACGTTATGATAGCGATAAATTATAACGGCATCTGATACAAGCTTGCAAAAAAACTAACAGTTCATATTTATTCCAAGCAAGCATTTTGTTCTTTTGAATACCGAGTCACTCTGCTTTCGATAGTCACCGTACACTGTTAGCTTACAGTTGAAAAAAGCAACAATTAATTGTAGAACATACTCTGGATGCCTGCGTCTGGATACGGTTACCGCCAGAAGATAAATATTCATCTAATATTCTCATTAGCAGCGAAGCTGTAGCCATCTGACGAATAGTGTATTCCTCAAAAAAAAAGATTATATACAAACTGAAAGAGTGAAATGTGAAAGTTTAGCAAAAGAAGTGACATACGTGCTGTATTCTCTTATATTGAGATTGATTATTTCTTTACTAGGAGATAAACGTCTGTTGATTTGTGGAAGTATATTTATATTTTCAAGATATTTACACAACATCAGCTATTTACTCGAAGACTTATCAAAGGACGAATGTCTTTTTACTATCGATGTTAACACTTAATGGTATAATGACTTCCTCACAAAGTATACAATAATTGTACATTATTAAATGCATATATTATTATCTGTATTGAGTATATTTGTACATACTAAATGAACGAACAAGCGTTTAAATCTCTATTTTCTGATAAAAAATACCGATAGAGTACTTACTCAATCCTGCTCAACTTATTATACATAGTAGTTTTATCTTGTTCAACATAGATTGAAGAAAAACTATTCCTGTTACAACATTCTTATAGTTACAAATAGAAATAAACGTAAAGTACATCTTATTATTTGTTGATCTCTCTAACTCTAACTAAGATATTGTATCTCTATTCTTGCGTATAACAGAGTTAGAATCAGATAGATAAACCGATAAAATTAATCTGTCTTAGTAATTATATTAAACAACATCATATAATAATTTAACTGAAACTTCTATCTTAATCAACAAGTGACAATTTTCATTTACAACTGATGTTTTTGAGATAGGACTGTTTCTCACTTTATAATCAAAAATGAATATTTAATCATGTGCTGCAAGATTTTTATGCACATAGAATTAATCTCCAACTCAAAATAAATAACTAGTTCAAAATCCTTCATTTTCAGGTGCAGCTTAGTATTAGTTCCCAAAACTGAAATTAAAATTATATAAACTATGAAAATATACACGAAAAGCTTTATTTTTTTAATTCAACTTTAAGACAGAACAGCGAAATCAATTTGATATAAAAAGTTAAACATTAAAAACCAATTTTAACTCAACCATTTTAACTTCATAATTTAGTTCTTTTAAATATCTCGGAATACTGAGACATATTTTTATGAAATACTCAACTTAAAGAACAACCATGACGTTTGTCGTCTTTTTGCTCATTGTTTAATAGTGAGATTTTAGGATCCGAACTGCATTGATAATCATCATACACTACGTTTGTGTTCAACAGAAAACTACGATGCCAGAGTATTCTGTTCCTTTCGGACAACTCCCCTTTTCTCCAAGCTCGAATATAAACGTGACAGACAATTACGTCGTAGATTAATGTACATGATTCAAACATAAAATTTTTTATATCGTTCGACTAAATGAAAGTTAAATATTTGTCTGTAAAGTACCTAATCAAAAAGAAGTACGTCACAACGGACATAAGTAAAAATATAGATTTTTAAGGAGTTATCGTATAGCTTCGAGAAAAGAAAGATATATTCTGAAACACATTTATTAGCGTCAGTTTTCAGCAGCAAATGTATGAAAGAAATCAGAGATAATTCAACTATTATCGAAAAAATATGGTCACGAAAAGTGAAAAGATTGAGAAGAAGACAAAATTATTCTACAGTAAGTACCTGTTATTACATTCATATTTTTATTACTATGTCTATAAACTATCAAATGATAATTATTTAATTTTCCAAACTATTCTATTATTAATAATTTTGATCGCAGGTGTATGCTATTTTCGACTTTTCTTAACATTTTCTCACTTATGATATACAAAACAGCATCATTATGACGAATATTAACGCATCAATGTTAGAAATCCATTAATAAGTTTCTCATTATTAACAACAATCATTGCATTACATCTGAATTTTTTATGATTTATATGGTTTTTAACAAGCGTCAATAAACTGATATATCTTAAAAGTTATTTTTCATTATTAATAACTAACGCATTTATATTCCTTTAGCAAAAAGAGTAAATAATTATATGCAAGATCAACAAGTATTAGACAACAATAAAAAAATATAAATAACAAGAGAAATAGAAGAATCATTCACATTAGGGATATAATATCTTTTATTGACCAGTCTTTAGCAAACAATATTGACTATTTAAGAAGAAATAACAGTTTTATGTATGATTTTCGAGTTATTAATGTTCTAGTACACTAACATCCTTATGTTTCATATCCTGTAGAAGTTCAGCATTGTATTAGTGTCCAATCTATTACTCTCTTACTTTCTTTCAAATCTGAATGAATATATTCTCTCACATTCAAACAAGTGAAACTGCTAACATAATTTTTGAAGAATTTGATATAAATTGACATCATATTATATGTAGAACAGTTAATATTTGGCAAATAATGTGTATCTACTGGTGATAGTGAAAAATCATTTTTTATACAAAATGACAATTTTATAACATTTTAGTGGCGTTATCACGTGAGAACTAGAAGCGACGAGAGACAGCAACAGTTCATTCTATAGAAAAATCTTTGACAAAAGCTACGATTGTAAACAGTTATCAAAACACATACTAATAGTGAATTCACTTTGGCTGAACTTTTAGTTGTTTATTCATAAAGTTTAAGTCTAGTGGAAAGCAACGAGTTAAAATTGTAAACATTGCTTGCGACTTCAACATGTTTGCAAGAAACATATTCTTTCACCTTCATCAAAACAAATCATCACTGCCTCTAATTCATCAAATGAGAGAGAACGTTTCATGCTATACAAAATGTAGAAATGGAGAAACGATTAGTTGTTAAAACAATTTTATTTTAAATAACAGGTCAAAAAAATAAACATATTATTATTTTTCTTTCCTATATCAAAAACAACAAAAATGACGGTGTTGTTGCTGTTGTTGTTGTTTGTATTTTAATAATTTTTAACTTCATTCTTCTTCTTCTTTTCGGCACCCAATTCAAAGTGTTTTGTTCGTTTTATAGGCAATTGTTTTTTATATTTACATTCGGTACATTCCATTCTCAGTACGATTTTTTTTGTTGTTTTGGCTTTTTTATGAAACACAGGTTTCTTTTGACCACCAAAACCTTTTTGTTTCATATCGTACCGACGTTTACCTAAAAATAAACGAGAATACAAACATGTAGAATTTTTAGAATGAATCAAATAAAAAGTTAAGCTTACCTTGAACATGAACACTATCTTTGCCTTTTTTGTATTGCGATACTTTGTGTAATGTGTGCTTTTTGCAATTTTTACCTTTACAAAATGTACGGCGTGTTTTTGGTACGTTAACCATGATTATTAATTATTGCTACTAGTAAACTGGTCGAAATAGAGTAGACAAGATCTGAAATAAACGGATAACAAAAAGATTATCATTAACTTCTAGTTGGATATACTTGAAAATATTGATAATTCAAAACCTACTGAGTCCTATAAACTGATAACACATAACTGAACGTTTCTGATTCCATCGCTGCTACTAATCAGTCTCACTCATACCCACACGGTTCTATATTTTGCAGTGTTTATTTTTCAATCACTGTTTTATTTTGTCGACCTCTATCTATATAAATATCACAGTATATTTGTAATATTTCGAATGTTTTTTTAACTTCATCGTCTCCTGTGAAGTATTGAGGTAGTCATACGGTTATGGCATGTGGTACTGATACTTTTCAGTCATACACTCTAATTGATATAAAATTAAGCAAAAGCAACTATAATAAAAATATAATTACTGGCTAAATAAGCTTCAATGCGGCACTTATTTTGAAGCTAGATTATATAGATATTGGAACCTCTCCTCTCTCGCCGTTTCAGTCTCATACAAAACGCAGCAAGGATCAAAATATTGTATACGAAAATGTTCACATAGACCTGAACGATCTTTCCTATTGAGGCTTCGATCTAAAACTGATTGAGCAGCTGGTCGTTCTAACTTAGTCTTGAAATTTCAGCATATGAACAATTGTAGCAAAAGCATGCAAAACATGAAGATTGATGGATGAATGTTCTCATACCATAAAGAAATCTTAAAAAAGCGGCATACAACCGAATTCAAAACAAAATAGAAATGATATGTGAAAAAAACAAAAACGATATTTTTTTATTAACCATTTATATATTTACACAATATAGAAGACGAGAAAAGAGAGATTATAGTGGAGATAAAGAAAGAAAACAACAACGAAGAATGACGTGTAAAACATCAGTATTTAAAAGCAAGAAAAAGAAATGGCACTTAATTATGAAAAAAATTACCAAATAGATATACGTAAATAGATTATCAACAACTAAATACAAAGAACGAAAATATTTCACACAAAAGCGGTATAAATAGTGAATAACGACAAGAAACTAAAAACGATGACAATAATAACTACATGTTCAAGTAATAATAGCGTCTCCCGCCCTCTTTTCATTCACTAACAACACAAGTTTATATCTGACAGATAATAAAAAGAAAATGGCACATGTGCGTGTGCGTTCTAAAAGAGACAGAGAGAGCGAGAGAGAGAAAGAGAGAAAATGGTGTATGTTCTATTTGCTCGATGTAGGACCAGGTGGACTTAACGATTGTAAAACACGATCGAGCCATTGTAAAGGGCCATTCAAATGAATTTCAATCCAACATGGTGTACTCATTATGGTACGACGTCTAGAGAAACGGAAACAAAAAAACTGTACGTGTTGCTCTTATTTCTCGTGTCCAAAAGGAAGCTATGAATTCTGTTAAAGACGAGGAGTTTTTCTTATTATTGTTTAGCATTAATAAAAGCAATTCAGTACGAAATAAGCAAATTTTTCAATGTTATTTAAACAAATAGTACTGATTTTAGTCTACTAGAGTTACAGTTCCACTACCTGTTTTTGTTTTATCTTGCTTAGTATATCGTACTTACCTATATTCTTCCCCCCATCCTTTAACAAAACTCATTCTAATTGAGCATATTCGTGTCAATTGATAAACATGTTCAAAACCTAGTGAAACACTTTGACTTAATAATTGAGCAAATTCACTATTGTTGAATATTTTCAAATTGCAACCTAAACATACATAATACACGTACAAAGAACAAGTAAAATATGCAGCTGTCAAATATTAGAGAACAACAAAAAACCGATAAAGAAGAATTTATCAAATCTATGAAGAGAAAGAACGCTACCAAAGTAGGACTCAAAGGTTTCAAAAGCTCTTAGGTATAGTAGCCATAAAACTAACAATAAATATGATGAATATACCTGGTGGAATTTTACAAACTGTAGCTGGATGCCATCCTAAAATCAGAAAAATAAAAGATAACGCCATGGAGAGAGAAAGAAAAATAGATGAACTTACCATAACGTTGATTACAACTTGGACTTTGTACAAATATGGGTGTATCGGATAAACATTCGGCAAATACTTCACCGCCGATGTAATAGAGTCTCGCACCAGTACCAATCATTCGTCGACAAGCTTCAATTTCATTTGTTCGATTAACATTTGTCAACGATCCAAGACAAAATCGATCCGATGCATTTGGATCACAATAGCCATCGACAACGAACGAATTCAACGATGCTTGAAATACTTCACCTACACGTTGATTTAATTCATAATACAAAATTGAACACCAAAATGGGGGGTCAACAAAATTAATTGGCTGTGGATTCATGCTGGCAACAATGTTCGAACCTTACAACATCAAAAATAGGCAACTTTGTCGATCAAACGCTACTTTAATAACCGTCTGTTTCGAAAATATTGGTACCTGTTCCATAAGTTTGAGTTTGTTGTTGTGCTGCTGCAACTGAAGCTTGTGTTGGAGTCATGGCTTCATAATTATCTTGTAAATTCAATGGACTATTTAACTGATTCATAGGAGATGTGGCTAATATGAGAAAGAAGATGATACAAGGATGCTTTTTGAGAATAATCTATGCTTACAATCCATGCTAACAGTTGAATCTGGTTGAGGCATATAATTTGTATCATTCGGGAGTGATACTGAATTGGAATCAAATACGGCACGATCAGAGACAGGTACATAAACAGGGGGCAAAACTGAAACACAAAAAGACGATAGAGTTGAATAACATTTTCTTATCAAGTGAAGAGTATGTTTCAAATATAGAAAACCAGCACATTGACACTTTTACACTCTCTTCACTGTTTAGGTCGAAAATAAGATATTTGGTTTTTCTTACTGGGTGTACAAATTCGCTCATAGTGATAGGGATTAACACAAATCAAATCATGATCTCCTTGAAAAGCGTATGCACAAGTTTCACATGGTTTCAATTCTAAATGAGTATTTAAATCTGGCCAACGCCATATACGACAAAATGCCACCACGGGTGTCGCATCTGGAAAGTGTTTATTGGTAGTGGGTAATGTGTTTGCTTGCAATAGTTTTCCTTGAGTATTTCTAGAACAAAAACAAAGTAAATAAATAACAATACAGTTATAGAAACAAAAATCTCATAGAAACAAAAATCTAGTTTGTGGTTTAATTAGAAATCGAACAAAATGAGCTTTTACTAAGCGAACTAACTTTAGTCATTTATTAGAGCTTATTTGATATTCCATGTACTTATCTCAGCAAAAGATTAAATTTTTATGAATGAAAGATTTCACATTTTCTTGTTGTCATCGTCGTTAAAAGTCAATTATGTTTTGTTTTCTTCATATTCCGTCCATTTTTAGATAGTACTGAAAAATGGTTGTAAGCTAAAGAATCTTTAATATTTGGAAACGAGTTAAATCGATCTTGCATGGAACAACAAGATCAACTACAATGTTCCAACAGAATACAAAAATATAAATTGTATAAATCTTTATTAGAAGTTTTGAAAAATAAATATGGCGAAAAAAGGCACGTTCTCTTCATCAGACTTACTTGACGAAAAAAAACTTATGTATCGTCTTAATAAATCTTAAAAAGTAATGTTTTTCTTTCATAAATTTGCTATTCATTTTCTTTTTTTAGTAAAGACCTTTGCAACTTTTATGCTCACCTTGGTATGGTAACACATCTTGTTTGTGAGCTTTTTGTATCTAAAGCTATTTCTAAATCGTCAACCATCGACGTTTTTGTCAAACGTTTAATCAAACCTCTAATAGCTTTTTCAGTCCATTTATCTTCGCCATGATTATGAACATTTTTACGATGTAAAAGTAAATGTTTTACAGATGCCGGATTGATAGAAAAGGCAAACGGTAAGTTAAATAAATTATTCATCTATAAATAAAATGATATATTATGAAGACCAATCAAACAAATTTACAAGCCTGTCCATCATATAACTAAATGAAATGAGATAAAAATTTACTCTTTCACTCCCTACAACGAAGTTTTTAGTTCCTATAAACTAGCATAAATCACAAGTCAATTATTTGCTTTTGTGTTCACACAAGAAGATTGAGTGCAAAACGGTTAATGTGGCAGAGCTATCAAAATTTAGCCTGATCAAAAGATCTTCGTTATCGTCTCATTACATACATATATTGAAGATCAGAAAAAGCCGAGAGAAGCCGGCATAAGAGTTGGATTATGATCCTCAAACCATCTAATCATTCAAACTAAGAAAATACACCGTCATCATCTGATTATATTTTAACGCTAACGCACAATCTTCTTGAAAAACAGCATATACGCTTTCAAAAAAACATGTTTAGAATATTCTAAAAATTGTAAGATAAAATAGGAGATTAGTTTGATCCTAGCACTTTCAATGTGACGAGACAAAAGCAAACAAACAACCTATGACGATAGGAGGATAGACTCTACTTATATCCATGCTAGTGACATATTTGCTCTAACGAAAGATTTCCTCGCTCGCCGTGTACTATATACAAGTTTAGAAAAGGAAAGACAAACCAGAGTTACGAAATTGGCTAGAAAATTTATTGTACCTAATGAAGCCTCTCTTTTAACGTCAACTCTTTGTAAGTTTCATAAAATGTCGCTCGTTCTCTACGAGTTTCACGAAATGAGGTCTATATGGTGGATTTTTATTTGCTTTAAGAAATAGCCAATAAGTACAAAAAAAAAATAGCATCATGGTGTGCCACTTACACATCATCATCGCTGTTCCCAGAAAATTGATGTATAACTGCAGCTGTTGCATAAAAAAGTTTGAATAACAGTATATTTTGTCTGTGTTATTGTTGTTTTTTTAATGTGAGGATGATATTCCAGTTCAGTTTGACCGTACCAGCATTGCATAAACAGGACCCGTTTTTCTAAGAGTTACTAGTCCAACGCGTATTTCTGACGTAGTAGTGTACCCATTGGAATTTTTTGTAATAATTAGAAATTAATGCAAACTAATTTAAAAAAGTCTCATATAAAATTAGAGCGCATTAATTTTTTTCTGATTAAAAATCACTTAAAATTAGTTTAACTTAAATATAAATTAATTCAGATTAATTGAATTTTAACCAGTTCGAATTAGTTTATCAAGTTAAATTAATTTCAAGTGATTTTTAATCAGAAAAAAATTAATGCGCTCTAATTTTATATGAGACTTTTTTAAATTAGTTTGCATTAATTTCTAATTATTTCGAAAAATTCTAATGGGATACGTCCACAGTTTACTTTCATAGTTTTGCTTGTTTTTAGTGATCACATTGATGAAAAGAGAATGTACAAGTAGTTTTTAACCCATACCGCATACTTTGTTTATATAGGCGCTCACAACGTTGACTGGAACAGTCTCAAGTGTTATTTACCTCAGACATGTTTTTTCTGAAAGAAAACATCACTTTTTAAACTCTTATTTAATATTTTTTCTGTCCACTTTTTAGTAATTGCTTTAGTTTGTCTAACGATCAGGCTGACTTTGACTGTATCCTTGTTGATGTAACTATTTTTAGCCGCATTACTTATTTTTTTCTTTCATTTTGCTATACAGTCAAAAAAATGCTTTAATATCGTTTTTTGTAAATAAGAATAGTTTGCTTTCCTTATAAACTAAGGTGTATTTTAATAACGTCTGAAAATACCTCGTATTATATTACAGAATTCGTTCTGATATTCATTTATCTTTGGATTAGTTATTTGTGTGTTCATATCTGCATTGTACTAATCGCATTTTTTATATTCTATGTCTTGATTTTCATATAAATTTTGCCGTTTGAGAGTACAACCGATAAAAGAAGAATTTATCTTAAACTTTTATTAATGATTGACATATTTCTCGTGTTGATCAAAAGTATGATTGCTGCAAAAAACGAAGTTCATTTATTACGAGCTAAGTTTTCATGTCAACCAAGACTTTAATTTTGGAAATTTTCGCTTGAGACTATAAAATATTACGAACTTTAAGCATGAAAAATTCATGTTGTGTTTATTCATAAAACTTTCTGTTTATTTGAGAAAATCTTGTTAAATTAGAAAACAGTCAAATTAAGATCTCTTCTCTCGTAAAAAGCTAAGCAATATGTCTTTTACTCTTACAAACGTCATTTCATCATTGTGTATTTATTTTTATCTAACTTTCGTAGTTTGTTAAATCTTTTTATCTTAAAGAATAAATCATAATCTATTAGATTTAATAAGCTAAAATATGATCCATCAGTACTTTTTTTGTAAAAAATGAACATCAAAGTTCAGAGGTATATCGTATCCGTATAGCAAACAAGTTGATTTCATTTACATAATTTTTCGCGCTAAATTTGCTTGTGACGTTTGTTTTCATGTTTTTAAGATTTCTGATTCTTTTTGAAAATGTTTACACAGGTAAATCTGAAATCGAATGTTTACACTGTACATTTTATATTCTTTGTTTTTTTCAATATATTTTAAGACTGTTGACAGTACCTTCTCTCTTTTGAGAAATTAATGAGGTTTTTTAAGTTTTTGCTCAGACGACCTCAAAAAACTACGAGTTTTATTAATTTTTCCCTCTGTTCCAGGCTTTCAGAATGTTTTTTTATACATAGTCTGATAGGACAAAGTGTGTTATTCACAATGACACTTATCTTCCAATTTTCTGAATATGGAGACATAACAAACGTTACAAATGTTGTGAAAAAAGTGCCCCGTCTAATGTTATCTGTAATGCTCAAAATACTTGGAGTTCCAATCAGCGTCGAGACTTTATACAATCGGGCAGATACGGGCAACTCCAAACTCGCAGTTGAACTTTTTTTAGTTGATTTGACCTTTTCAACTTCTACATTTTGTTTTCCTTTTTTTATTACATCACACTAGATTCTTTTGTTCTATGCACAGCACCGATAGAGAGAGTGGTTTTTGTTTTTCGATTTTTTTCGATGTAAAATGACAAAAGATATGCTTTTAAAATTAACATCGTTTATATATGGCAATTTTGAATTGTTAGCATGACATTTTTGTGTGTAAGTACACTTATAAACAAAAGTAGAATAAACAGTTGTTAATAAAGAAGAAAACGAATCAAGACAAAGATATCCTTTTAGGATTCGAAACGAAGTTGTCTATCTCTGTAATTGGGCCTGGAATTTTTGTTCATTTTTCACTTTTCCTTAAAGAAAAATAAAAAATATTCTACAGAAAACTAAGATTTTTTTATTTCAAAAACTTCATAACAGCTTCGCTATCGTTTTATAGTATGTTTATTCTTTCTTAGCAACTCGTAACATATTAGATTTAATAAAGTAAAGTTTGATCACCATCACAACCGATGGCTGTATACTGAATTGATTACTCGCGATTTTTCTAAAAAACTCTCAGCACATTAGAAAAATAGAACTTAAAATACGGCTGGTTTTGTAGTTGTAGCTCTGTTATAATACTCACACTTTTCTCATTAAGCAAAATATATCTACAACAAGCTCGATACGACATTCTGTTTCAGAGTAAAAAACATGTGGTAAATTTTGGAAATGATGAATTGTAGCACGTAGTTTCAAAGTAGCATGAATGCAAATAGTACTAGCTAAGCACGCCTCCTGTCATTCAAATGAAGGAAAAAGAAGCATGAAAAGTAAAAGATGCTGTTTTTCGAGTGTTGTGAAGTTAAAATAACAAAACAACATGCAAAACTAAATACTGAAGATGCGGTAATTGACGTGTTTCGGGAAAAAGTTTCTAGTTAGTCCATTCGAAACTGTAAAACGCTTATCCAGAAAATAGAACCTTGATTCCTTTCTGATAGCACTTTATACGCGCCTTTGACTAAATAATTTTGTTTTGAAATAGGCAAAATTCTGTATAAGAATATTAATGAGTTAATAACTGCTTTGACTTCTTTTGCCATACATATATTTGCCACATGATTTTATTAATCAATTAATTACATTAAAAATGCTACGAAAAGTATCGAAACGTCGACAAAATTAATTGATTAATAAAATTATGTGGGAAAATCGAGGCTTCTTAATTAAGATTGCTTTTTTGATAGAGTGTGTAAAATAAAAATTAACATCAAAGAAACAACATTACAGAGCGGGAAGCGCAAAATGAGAGTGAATGGAAAAATAATGATCTCAATTACAAATGAGCTCACAAAATATATATTGGCACAAAAGGTCAAAGCAGCCGTTAACTCGTCAATAGTCTAGGTGACTAGGTATACTGAAACTGGTCTTTTAACGACAAATCCATGTATAAGATTAGGACATATCTAGCAAAAAAGTTTCAAAACATCGATATTACAGTGAGCCGAGTATCGACATGTGTGTTTATAGGATGATCATTCTAGTGAATGTGCTCAAATTAGCGTGCTACATGATTAATGTCACAAACTCTAACAAAAGATTAGTCCTTGTAACTACCAATTGAGTATTCATGTTAGTACGTATGCAAAACTATTTTGATTTCTCTCTGATGTATAAGATTAATTTGACCAGTTAGTAGTCATGTTTAGTACTTATTATGAGTATTTTGAGAATTCGCTGCTTGCATGAGTACTTAATAAACTCGAAACTTTTCGTTAGAACCCAGCTGAGTCCTTTTCTAGAGCTATTGAGTTGTTGAGAACTTATGAGTACATTCACAAGGTAAATCTCTCTACTAGTGTTAGCCAACCGTTGAGTTCGAGCGGAATATATCGTTAAAATACAGAACTCTTTTGTGATATGCTTGGAAAATCCGCATTGCTTCACGCGTTCTTTAGAAGTATGCAAAAAACCTGGGTGTTTAGTCATTCTTTGATGAAGACAAAACATTTGGTCAGCCGATCTTATCATACCAAAACAGAAGAGAGTGAAAAGTACATTTCCTAGCATTTTTATGTATCCTATTTTTTCATATAATTCCTCCTACTTGGTTCATAACAATAACAACGACCAAAACGTGTATTGTTAATCAAAATTGAAGACGATATTACTATATCTTATTTTTTTCTAATAATAATATTAGAAGTAATTCAAGTCCCCCACCAAATGATTTCTGAAGAGAGATACAAATATCACGATAAAATTGCTATACTATCTAGAAAAGACTAGAAAACTACAATATTACTTTCTTGATGTTGATAAATAAATATCATAAAAAACCTATATGCACCGACTGAGAATCGAATTTGGCACATTGATTATATAAACCATCGTTCAACTGAGCTATCAAGACATGAACCTAACGTGTTATCATTAATGAATGATATTTGATTATAGAATATCAGTTTTATGCACGAATACCGAATCTTCATAATTTGTAACTTAACTTCTTAACTTCTCTTCATACTGAGAAAGCAAAATTCATTGTACCGAGATCGAATACGTTTTACACTTCATGTCGACGTCTAACACCTAGTAACCGGAAGTAAAGAGGCGTGACCACCTACGTACACTCAGTATATATGTATAAAAATGAACTTTGATAATTAAGCATCATTCATTAGCAGTAGGCATGAGCGGTAGTGGTAATTTAACGATAAAGAATTTTTTTTTACCGAAGTTTACCGCGGTAACACGTTTTTACCGTTACCGCACATGTCTAATTAGCAATAACATGCGATTAGACTAATTTCTTGAATCGTAAGAGACAATTCAGTCCTGAGTTCTTAGCGCAACAACTTTTCCCAGTAAGAATCTTGGACACTACTTAAAATTATCTTGCTAAGATCTTATAAGATTTGACGACTCTGCTTCCATTAACCCTTTTTTGCACTCATGCAAGTATATAAGTAACCGAAAATAACTGAATTTTACAGTGTGATTTGTCTTTCAGACTCTACTACTCCTCGCTCCCTCGAAAGTGTTCAACAACTTTTCAGAGAGGGTATCGTGCAAGTCAAGGTCCATGGTTGAACATCCGAAAACATGAAATTTTTGTTCATTCTTCAAATCTGTTCAAGTCCTATTTTGAATAGTGTAAGTTAGGTATCCAAAAGTCCTTAGTGAATTGTGAATGAATGTGATAAAAAAACGTCATCGGTCTTACTATTGAGATCCTAACAAATTCTTACCCAATCTTGAACAAATCTTAGACAATATAATCTTAGTAAGATCTTATCAAACCTTAAAATTTTCGTGTCTCACGATCTTAATAAGATTTGTCTCAGATCATAGACAAATGTAAGCAAAATTTTACTAAGATCTTAATAAGATTATTCTGAAATCTTAGTAATATTCGAATAAGTTTCTCACTAGGGTTGTCACGAGCTCATCTATTTCATACAGAAAAATCACGAACTTTATTATCCTAGAATTTTGAAAAACGTGCTTACTGAGTGTGAAGACTTCTATAAAGTAAGACTTATAAAGAGACGACGCCATCTACTTTTAGTGTAATCCTGAAGCTTTGATAAGGTAGAGTAGTTCTTCAAATTTGTTTTATCCTGTGTCAGATTAGCAACGTAGTGAGAAACTCTCGATAAACCGTAGAAAAAATAATAAGTATTGATTTTTAAAGACCAATTCTAAAGAAATGTTTCATTCACATCAGTTAACTACTAGTCAAATACACAATAGTAATGTATATGTACATCAGCGTTTCCCAATTTATTTTAGTCATGGAACCCTTTCATAAAATTTAAAACTTTGCGAAATCCCAGTAGTATTTTGACATAATATTTGACAAAAATTATTTAAGACTACGTAATTTTTTTACGTGATGAAATTAATTTTAATCTTCTTATTTTTTTCTGGCGGAACTCTTGGTTTCACTTCACGGAACCCCATTTGGGAAACGCTGATGTACATGTTTGTTCACACATTGACATGACGGTTAAAACTTTGATATGATTTTTAGAAAGACTTTACATGTTCTACAGAACTCTAAATAATCAGTGTAACACTTCTATATATTTTCCTTGCAATATCGAGATCAAAAAGCTTTTGCCAATCGAACAACTCCTTTTTAAACGAGAATAGTACTGGTGATACAACGAATGTCTGATACAAAATATAGACTTCTGGCTTTTATTTAGCTACTAACAAAAGATCATATTAATACTCATATTTATTTTGCATCTATCAATTAAACATGAAAATTCGAGAATATATTGGATTATATGCATTGTCAATGACCTTTGTTACTTCATTAGTCTGTAAAATCGGATGTTGTCAACAAACATTTTCTTTTTCAATTCTGTTCTTAATCATAGACATATTAACTATCCTTTTTTTTTGTTTTAGTCTTTTATAACATGTTTAGTATTCTCTATTTTTAGATTATGTAAGTAACATCAAACACAGTCGTATAATGTTTAAATTAGAGTCTTATTTGGCTCCATGGTTATTATCCTATATAAATCAATATGTAGAATTAAAACGTGAAGATTTTCAACTATCATTGTGGGGTGGTGATGCTGTATTCAATAATTTAAAATTACGATTATCAGCCATACAAAAATTAGTACCACAATTACCAATTGAATTTACAAGTGGAAAAATAACAGAATTAAGAATACATGTAAGTAGTGTATTTAACCACTCATTTACTAGAGTATATAATATACAAAAACGAAATAAAATTAATTATAAAATTTATAATTATTTATTTTTATCTATTTAGGTTCCATGGACGCGTATTACATCTGAACCAATTATTGTTACAATAAATCAAATTGAATTAGTTGTTGTTTTAAATAAAGATTGTCAATTTTTAACATCGTATTCTCGTTCATCTTCAAATAATTCATTAAATGAATCGATTACTTCAGACTCTGTATCATCACCATCTGATACTTCTTATGTTGATCAATCAAATTATATGCAAACAATTTTAACTCGAGTAATCAATAATGTACATTTAATTGTTAATAATTTAATTGTAAAATTTATTGAAGATGATATTGTTCTATCACTCTCTATTAAAACGTGTGAATGTTATTCAGTTAATCAACAATGGGATAAATCTTATATTGATTTAACAGTACAAGATTTATTTCTAAGAAGAATATTATCATTATCCGATGTTGTACTTTGTCTAGGTAAATTAAATTTTTCATTTTTAACATCTATTTTTTTACAATATTATCAATCTATTTAGATAAAACTGATCAAAGTGGTAAAATTAAATTATATCAAGATCCAATTATTTATCGATGTTCCATTCAATGTCGAATTCAAATGGGTTATACAAATATTTTACAAAAAAAACCATTTCAAATTCGACTTAGTTTTCATTGTGTAGAAAATTTTATTTTATCAATTAATGATTTACAATTACCCATGTGTATGAAACTCATTGAAATATGTTTAGCTATTTTTTATGGACAATTATATTTGCCAAATATGACAACAGTTACAAAAGAAACAGCAGAAACAAAACATAATAGTAAATAATTCTTTTCTTTTATTCTCTAGTAGAAGAAACGTTATATTTTTCTAGCTCTGACTTCTTCAACTACAACAACAACTACGATTTCTCCTCTTCCTGTTCCTTCACCTCCGCCTACAGATTCCACTCAAACTATGTCAAATGAACAATCACAAGCTGGTTGGGTACAATGGGCATGGTCTTATGTTCCATCAATATCAACTGTTCTTGGCGATGATTCAGAAACAACTGAAAATCACGATCAAGAACAACAACAATTAGTTCAACAAACCCCACAAGCACTCATCTTATTTGCTGGACTCTATTTTGATCATATTATTTTGCAATTTAAGGTATATATAACATACACATATACGTTTCATCTTATCATCATTGTTTTTAGTTGACACATAATCGTAAACATTATACAAGTGAAAAAATGGTATTTATACCATTTATGGAATTTACTGCTGATAAGGCAAGTAAGTAAAAATAAGATAAGACAGTACATATTGAAAGATAGAATAGTATCTGATAATTTTAGGTGTTGAAATTGTTAAACGTCAAAATGAATGTTTAGTTGTACAATTTGGTATTAGAAGTATGGCAATTAATGCACTCGGTCAATGTTCATGTGGATTTAACGATGGAAACAATAATACTTCTGTTATTACAGTAAATAGTCTTAAATTTGCTAAATTAAATGAATTCTATACATATGGTTTTTACTATTTTAGCCTCTTTTTTTTAGCAATGACAATGAGTCATATAATGATGGGTCATATTTATCATGGTCTTTATTTTGTCCTGATGATCGTTTACAACCATTATCCTCATTTGTATTCGATTTAGAACAACGTTGTCAAGAATTAACGGATAAACATGTTTTAGAACGTTATGGTGCATTTTATTTTGAATATTATTGGTGTATTGATATGTCATTGAAAAAAAATGATGATAATGATGGTTATTTACCTCATGAAGATGGACGTCTAAGATTTTTATTTGACTCCTATACATTTAATATTTCGGCAACATCTGTTCATCATCTAATGAAAATATTACAAGTAGCACAAATTGAAACGTATACGCGAACATATTGGAAATTACCAACAGAAAAGGAATTAGATTTATTAGATACCGAACATATTCAAGTACCAGATGAAAAAATTGTAAGAAAATTAGATTCTTATTTTCCATTAAGATATTATATCACAAAAATAAATAATTTAAACATTTATATTTATCCATATAAACATCAATCAACAACAAAACAATTGACAGTATGTATTAAACCTGTACTATATTAAGTAGCTTTGAGTCATATAATTTGATAAGTAATTCAGAACTTTTCTAACCCTTAAAAATAATCATAGTATCAATGAATGGGTTGTCAGCAAAGTTTTAAATAGAACATTATCGATTTTACTGCACACTTTCTCCAAATCTGATGAGAAACTTGATGTCAAGATAACAACAGTTTTATATTATTTCTTTATACCTTTCAAATGAAAAAGATGTCCAAAGTTCGTGCTAGTCTAAATGCACTTAACAAAATAGTAGATCTAAGAGCTGTGTGTAGAATTCTTTGATTAAATAGATAGTACGAAAATATTTAATACTACTCTTGAAAGCTTTTCTTTTTTTTATACCCTATATCACTAGGTTTTGTTGATAGACTTCCAGAGCTGAAAATTTTAGAAAGTTCTAACTTCTGCCATTTTGTTAAGCACATTTTTCTTCGCAAAATTGCGAGCTTCGAGCGTCTTTTCTTACAGACACAAGTTACGGAATCATGTTTTCAATCGAGCTACGTAGAATGGCTCATTCATTATTTATTTTTCGTTTTATTTCAGCCATCATCGTATTATTTACCACAATCTAGTCCATCTTCTATTCCTCAAACAATGCAATCACTATTTTTAGTGACGATAAACAATATTGATTTTAATATAAGTACGCCAATGTATTCTCGTAAAATCGTTCGTTTAATTTCGTTGATTTCGACTCCATCAAAAAAAATTCTCTGCAATTCACAAACACAATTTCTATTTCATGTACCAACAATTATACTATCATCGGACATGCAAGAACAGTTAGTGACTTTAAATGAATTAAAATTTCATTTCAGTTTATTACCACATGCACATTTATGGAAAAAACAACATCAAATTGTTTGGGAATTTAATTGTGAATGCTCTAAATTCAATATAAATTTAACTAAACAGTTTTCATTACAAATTTATCAAATATTTGTTCAACAATGGTTTCTAACCATCGATAAAGAATTAAAACTAAAATTACCAATTAATACGGATGTACCAGGAGTATTACCTATGACATCAAAAGGACACAGTAATGAGAATGATGGAATTGAAATAAGTTTTAATCAATTTCATGTACATTATTTTGTTACATTTTCATCATTTGGTGGTACATTGAATTTATACTCATTTCATATTCGACACAATCAAAATCAAATCTTCGAAGCACCAATAAACACTAAAAAATTTATCGAAAATTTATATCAGAAACACTCACGTAAGAATTATTAATGTCATCAATTATATTTGACAGCTATAACTACAATACAAGATTTTTTGTTTTTGACAAAAAGAAACTAGTCATAAAATAAGTGAAACAATTATGTGAAAAAAAGTTCCAATCGAATTCGCTCGATTTAGGGATCTTGATTTCTAGAGATCCTATTATCATCAATTCTGATGGAATTTTAAATATAGAAATTTTGCTTATTTTTTTGCTCGATTTTTGGATCACCGGCACCTCATTTATGTGCAATTTTTTTACAAAAAGAAACTACAAAACTTTTCAAGATTTTTCATCGGCAGCACGTCTAATTGCATCACATTTTTATAGAAGACTTCCAGCTACGCAATTCTTTTTTCAGATTTATTCTAGTTACTACTGTTGAATATAAAAGTCTAATATACGAATGCTTTCAAAATTTGTTCATTTTCGTATAAGAGAAATACGATTATGTCCATCTTTTATTAGAAAAATTCATTTTCTATTCCTTATTCTCCTATTTATCAACTGTTTTTTATTTTGTTTACATGTTGTGATTTTTTCTGTTTTTAGTACATGCTCAATCAACTTCAGCGAGAAAAAATTCAGTTTCTGATGGAAACAATGTTCGATTGGTCACACCCGGTTCAGCTTCACCGTATCATAATCAAGTTCAACAAGTCAATATATTTTTATCATCAAAATTTCAATGTCCAATATCGTTCGATTTCACTCGTGCACCCTCTTTTCTTTGTTTCGATTTACAAGGCTTTTATTTTCATTTGAATCCCATCATCAATGATTATTTTAATTATCTTTCATCTCACATTGAACATCAACAGTCTGTATTACCAAGAACAACAACAATTTTAGAAGATGATCATATGAGTATATCATCATCAACAACACAATCCGAAATTCCATCTCGTTTTTTTAAACGACCATCACCTGAACCTATTCAAAAACCCAAAACACCAAATGATGTTTATGCATTAATTCGAACCACTCATCTACATATAACAATTCATCCTAATCTACTAGTTCTATCAAAACATCTTGTATTATGTTTACCTGATATTGAGTTAAAAAGTTCACAATTAAAAATGTCTTTATGGACAATTGAACATCCAACAGCTAGCGTACAAAATTCAACATTAACGGGTGATAGATTACCATGGTTAATTAAATTTGATTTACTTCAATTATTTCTTCTAAAAGATACATATAGTCTACAATTAGCACTGAAAGAACAAAAAACACTCGAAGAAAATATCACATGGTTAATACGTCCATTTCTGATAAATATTGACATTCCGATTAAATGTGAATATAAACAAACAGTACAATCATTAAATATCAGTGTACATATACACATACCAGATACAATTCAATGTTATTTATCACCAAAACATTTGAAAGATTTAGTTCAATTTATTCAGACGCTTCTACAAAATATTGAACAAATACAAAAGTTTATTAGTTTAGTAACGATAAAAGATGATATTGTAGAGCAGCAACAAAAAGATAATAACAACGATTTAATTCCTCAAAGTGACATATTATCAATTAAATCAATGATTGAACACTCAACAAATAGCTTACTAGGGATACGTAGGTGTTAACGACTTTGTCATAAATGTATAGTTAACAGCGGAAAATACAGTAGTCTCAGCGATATTTTACACTAAACAGGATGCTCTATAACCTATAATTAGATCGGATAGTAGCAAATATGTAGAAGAACTTGTGTAAAATTTGATTTTATCTAAACATTCTAGTTTTTCTATTTCTTGTTGTTTTTAGCATTAGATGATGAAATTCAAAGTCAAAGTTCTTCATCATTTCATTATCCTCTGTTTGATCCAACAATAAGTCCATATCCATCTCGTTCAAGCTCAACTCGTATTACACCCGAACGTAGTTTAATAGTTCAACAATCAAATAAAATTCATTATTCGTTTTTTACTCAATTAACATTATCAAAGTTTCTCTTGATTTGTGATTATGATGTCAATAAACATTTATCAACTCAATGTGAAAATTTGTTGTTATTTTATGACGCTGATGAACATCATCATAAACTCTCCTTTCAAATTCAAACATTTTCGATTAAGAAAGAAGATGAGACAAATATTTGTGAGACACTAACAGATGGTGATGATATTAAAAAAGCCATTCATTTTACAATGACACGTGCTACAGTTGATAATTTATACTCAAAATTAAATTTACCACAAATTCGTTCAAACAAAATAGCGGCACAACACATTACAGAGCTTCTATTAACGATAAAAGCAATTGAACTAAGACTATTTGAGTTTATTCAACCAATTATTGCCTATAAGGCTGTCATAAAGTCTCGTCCTCCCATGAAGAAGAATCTAAAAGAGATGCCACTTTTTTTTCCATGGGATATACCATTGATAAGTATGGATATACAAAAAATTAGAGTACTATTACCCATACATCAAATACAAACAACAAATTCCTATGAAAAATTTAATATGTTTTTACTCCAAATTGATCGGACAAAAATTGAATGGCAATTAGATAATCCCATACAACGAAATAGTATCAAATATACACAAATATATGAAGAAGCAAGAACAAAAGGTAAAGTATTTTATTCAACTTGTTAACGCTAATGTATGAAACAATGTTTGCTGAATATAGGTGAAACAGTTCGTCCTGGAACATATATGGAAGATCGTCAATATCGTTTATCAATGTCGAATATAACATTTCAATTATGTTCAATATCATCAAAAATGACAAACACCGATACATTTGAACAACAATATTCAACAAATCCTGCTCATGTGTGGAATACAACGATAATGAATAATAATGATGATGAAATATTGCAAAAATCCTTAATGGAACCATTTAGTTTTACAGTTGCTATTGCTTTACCCTTATTTTCTAAGTATAACTCACAATTACTTTTGCTTAATGGTTATGTAATGGAAGTTCACTGCAAAACTGTTTGTTTTCACGTCACAGATCAAGATTTATCATTAATGACATCAACAGCAGCTAATATGAAACAAATTATAGAATCATTTATACAACAACAACAACCGTTTGCCAGTGAGATATCACAACCATTATTTCATAACAAACGTAAGTATAAACAGTATCAATTTTTTCCTTGCTGTTAAATTATTGTTATGTCTCTTAATTTTAGCATCTGAACCATCCAAATCAACTTCTGTAATACCATTTGAATTATTTATGGTAGCCGATCGTTTAACATTTGATTTTTGTACAATTTCATCTTCTCTACTTAATCCTGTATGTTTAATTGAAATAGAATCACCTCATACAGTCTGTACTCTATTCAGTGAACATAAATCACATCATATTCAATTGTGTATTTATGATTTACGTATTCGTCAACATAGTAACGACAGCAGAGGTAATCAGACCTCATCATTTATTCCACATCATTCTCTATTTTCGTCTCCAGTATTTGAAACACGTCAAGGAGAAGTAGTTAATCGTAAAACAGGATTAATATCCAATTTTTTAACGTTCTACTTTGATTATGATTTTATTCATGAAGAAAAATACAATTTGTTAATTGAACGACAGTCTGAATTACATATTAATCCAATACTTCTTCTTACATTTTGTACACTAGTTAAAAATCTTGACACAATTGTGAAACGTTATAAACCTATTACTGTTAGTGATCAAAAATCAACTAATCAACATTGTAGTCGAATTATAAAATTGGATCTTTCAACATTTCCAATTGCTCTTTTTTGGGATAAACATACAGAATTATCATTAGGCAATATTCGTTTGACAATAGATTATGATTCAAATTCAGCAGCTGTATGTTACGGTTTAGTTATCAAAGATTTAAGGCTCAATTTTCAATCGAAACGTTTTTTAAATCCTTGTACAATAACGTCAACAATCGATCATTTTCAGTCATCTACTTCATCTATTAAATTTGATGTGACAACTTTGGCTATACAGTTTACATTTGATACACTTCATTTTATTCTTGAACAAACACAAATTATTAAAAATTTGGTTGAACAATTAAAACTCGTATTTGTTGTTGATGGAGATCATGTAAAAGTTGCTAAACAAATAAAAAACGAAATCTTATTTGTAGACGATTTAAGAAATGGTTCAATGAAATATGTTTTCGATGAGGGTAATGGTGATGAACCACAAGTTAATGAAATTGTATTTAGTCATTCACAAGATAACAAAACATCGTGTATGACATGGAAATATGAGAACAGACGAACAATAATCAAATGCTCAATTCTACCATTACCATTTGAAGATGAACTTGGAGGAATAACATTGGTCGATGAGAATAACGTTACACACAGTAAACAACCACAACGAGTAAGTGAATATCTAAACTGTAAGAATGGCAATGATAAGACATCTGATAGATTGAACAAAAATTCTTGTATTGAGTATTATCCTCTAATTGAAGTATACTGTCCCATTAGGATTCAACAAAGATTTCTTCATCAAATCATCAGTTAGAGAGGTTGAGTTACTCTCAAATTAAAGCTAATACATTTAGTGAGAGTCTTCCGATTTTTGAACATCGATCTCTTCCATGGAAAAGATTTTTCTAGAGATATTAAACGGCATTATCCAAATTATTGACTTTTTTAAAATAAATCAGACTTCTGCATTGACTAAATCGTGCGAATACGAATAGTAGCTCACCTATTTCAGTCAATTTCAGAATTTTGTGCGAAGAATAATTGATAAAATAACAACAACTTTTTCAGTTATTCAAGAGGTGCGTACTCTCTCACATCCTCTCGTTATTTGCGGCCCTGCTTCTAACGATACTTTTTTGGCAGAGAACTGGAAGACTAAAGATGTTTTAATCTGGAACTTTTGTCACAGTTATCAGAAAATAAAGAAAAGGATTGCGAGTTATGCAATAAACAGATCATTCTTGTCTATCTATGCTATAGATTAGTCAAGTTGCTGCAAACGCTTTATTATAAGAAAATACTAAATGATCAATTTTTAATCTTGTTTTGATATGAAACTTGAAAAAAAATCTGTAATTCAAAAATGAAAACAATTTACACTAGTATATGTTCAGATTAGACTCAACTCATCATATCTTGTAACATGCGTAAAAGACATTAGCCAAAATCAGTAAAGAAAATATAATACTACAAAGACTTATTCCTAAGAATCTCTGAATTAATAGATTAAATTTTAAAAAACAACAACAACAACAATGACTATTTTCCTATTCTATATGATATTTTTAGGTTGAATGTTTATTACAATATTGGCATCCATGTTATACAGAATTTCTAACCTATCATAATTTTAAATTGGTAGATGGTGAATCAACATTTATGGATTTTAGTTCAGATTTAAATTTAAATCCATTTTCTGATATATGGCGAATTGTTATTTTACATCATACTAGTATTCTAACAACATCTCAAATATCAGCAAATTCATTGGCAGCTTCAACACGAATCGATTCTTTTCAATCAAATCGATATCAACCACAAATTCAAATGATATTAACTATACCAAATATTAGATTAAATTTTCTACTAAATGATGAAACAACAACGGTAAGGTACTTTATTATAATGTCATTTGAAGATATTGATTTTGTTTAAATGTAGAGACGATCTTCAATGTAGTGATAGACTATTTTCTCATTATTTGGAGGTGGTGGTGGTGCAGTGAAGAAAATAGATTTAAGTAAGATGTCGCAGTGCTATATTTCTTACTTAAATCTATTTTCTCATTGTCAAATATGTACTAGACTTGATAATTGATCAATTTTTTTGAAATATTTTTTCTCTTGATTATTTTTAGACTACAAATGATCTTATTCAATTTTATTCTACATTAAAAAAATGTTCCCATGATGTTTTAACACTGAATTTAGATAATTTATCATTTGATTATTGTCAACGTTTTGAATCAAAATTATTTGATTTTGAAACATCATTATCAATTGATTATTTAGAATATCGTTTTCTTACCCGACGTTCATGTTTAGAACCAGCTTATATTAATTTAAAACTATTTATCAATGATAAATCATCTTCATCATCTTTGCAAACAATCTTTGATACTACAACTCAAAATTCAAAATATTCTCAATTATTTAACGATTCATCATCATCAACCATAGTGACAATACATCAGATAAAAATGTATATTGATCATTTAAATATTCGATTTAGTCAATCTTTATTTCATTTATTTAATATTCTGTATATGACATGGATGAAATCTAAATTATTTGACAGTTTAACTCAAGATACAAAAAAACGTAAGAATTTTTCAAATTATTCATCCTATCTTTTACTAAATTAATTATGTTGTCTCATTGAAATAAAACTTATTTTCAATTTATTTTTAATATTATGTGTAACATAGTTATATTATTTGTCTATTTTAGTATTCTCTGCCACCATACCGTCCGAATCACAAGAAAATGTTCTATCATATTATACGTACTATTTATTTTATAATCATTTAAATTATACTGTTGAATTGAAACAATATGGTACTAATGAACAAATTTTAATTGAACCTCATACATCTATTGACTATTCTTGGTATAAACACAGTCGAACACCATTATTACTATCATTTTCTATTCCTCAATTAAATCATATTCAAACAGGAGCATACAATATACATCATATTGATGAAATTGATCAAGATAATGAAAATTTAACTATATCATCATTAAAATTATTAAAATTTATAAATAGTCCTTATACAATGTATATTAAAAATGATTTAGATCAACATGGAATAAGACGTTCAATACACTTGTTTGGTTCACTAATTATAAGAAATTTTTGTGATATTGATTTAACTTTGCATATAGAACAACAAAAAACGACTTCAATTCTAGAAAAAATACTACCAGCAAATGGTCAATATGTTAGTTTAATACAATCAGTACAACAAATGCAAGCAATCAAATGGAAAATAGTTAATAATGATAAATATTCTGAACGATATTTAATACAAGATTTATTACAACAACCACAACAAGGAATATTTTCATCAAATGGAAATAATACATCATTATGGATTCATTTATTCAATGAGATAATTTTCGGTACGGATTCAATGTGTACATGTCTTGTATTTACACCGATTGTCATCTATCGATCCTATTTGACTGATTCAATTTATCTACATTTAAATCAAAAATCAAAACAAGTAAGAGAAATAATTTTTCGAATAGATTATTTATCTATTTTGCTAACATAAAATTGCAGTTGTATTACTTTTGTTAAAAACAAAAAAGTCATTCAATTTATATATTGTCTTTTTTTGTTAATTAGTCAACATCATATCCAATTGAGACAACTCTTCTACTTGAATCAAATGCCAAAACCAACTATTATTATTCAATTCATAAAGATTTTGTTTATACTCTTCGTTTACAACAACTTGATTCAAAAACGCCAACTGATTGTGTTTATGAACTAAATTCATTGACATATTCAAAAATTGAAAATATCGAATATATACAAATAAATACAAATCAAACAATAACAGATTATGTACTAGAATTAAAATCGTTTCATCAACATCATTCTCATACAACATCAATTGTTGATTTGCTCCAAGAACAACAACGTGAAGAAAAGAAAACAAATGACATTGTACATTTGCCATCATCTGCAAATGATGTACTAGTGCCGATAACTATGGTGCAAACAATTAGTGCTAATGGACCATCAATGTATGATGTAACTAGTAATATCTTATTGAAACAAAAACAATCTGAAGGTATAAAGTAATAAATTATAGTTTTGTATTAGTGTACTGAAAAGTAATTTAAAGTTACAAAATGACTCATAAATCAAACGATAGTGTTGAAGGGAAGTCCATTAGTACGCAGTAAACAACCTGTGAGCTCTTAGGAACTTTAGCTCAGACGGAAAATAAATATTCTCCATGCTAATAACTATTCTCACAGGTTTCCACGAACTCAATCCCATTTAAACTTTGCACAAATGTTGCTCTATATGTACTATTTTCACAAAATGAGTGCCAATGAGCCTCGTCTTTCCTCACCCATGTTTCCTTTAAATCTTACGGTTTTTTCGGGTAAAGCTGTTTTTTTTTTCAGTCAAATAAAATATTTTAACGGTAACTAAGGGCATATTTGGAATCAGTGCGAAAAACTACATCGGATGATTTATAAAACAAATGATTTTCTGAAACACGTTTTCTAATCAAAAATTTCAGACTTTAGTGCTCTCTATCACGACTTTCTGTTTGCTTCTTCGTAAAAAGATGTTTTGAGCAATAAGGAAGCAGAGTAAAAGAGAAAGAAACGTTTGTTGTTGGAAAAAAGAGTCGTATCTGCCTGCTAGGCCAAAAATGCTCACTATGTTAGTCACATGAAGACTCACAAAAGCGTCAAATGAATTACCATTATTCAGATTCTCTGATATTATTTACACATTAGTAATAGAAAAACATTTGCTTTATTTAGAGTCAACAGCAGTGAACAATCATAACACTGATGCTGGTGAATTGACAAATTCGATTGATTGTCGCTTAGAAACAAGTTTACTATATTCAAAATTAAACACTATTCTTATCAAATTAAAACCATCGACAATTATTCAAAATTTAACACCATACGAGTTTATTATTAATTTTAACCAAAATGAACAGAAAGTTTATTTACTTCGTGAACAATCACTCTGTTTACCAAAATTAACATCAAATTTATTACAATTTACTTTGTTAATAAACGATACTGATCGAATGCAATGTTCACCGATTGAAATAATTTCTTCATCAGTTATCGCATCATCGAAATCAAATCGTCTCTACTTAAATTCATCCTTAGATCTCAACTTTATTGCATCTTCAAATACTGAACATTATCTGTTTAAAATTAAATTTATTCACTTAGATAATACGAATATTTTTACTTTGTCATCAAAATATGTACTCAATAATAAGACAAATATGCCACTCAAATGTCGAATTTTACTATGGTCCCCGTTAAAATCATCATTAAAACCACAACAACAGCCACAAACAGTTGATACAACTATCAATGTTCTAAACGTCGATAAACACTCATTATGTTCAATATATCGTTTTCAAGATATTCCTAATACAGCTAATCAATATTATCTGATATTTGAACATGAAATGAAACATTATTCACAATATGTATCCAAGCCAATTAGATTAGTTCAAAAACAAGAACAAGATGGTGATAGACAATGTTTATGTCTATTTAAAAATGATACATTTTTGAACACAACTAAAGATTCTCAAAATGAACAAAAAAAGTAAACAAACATCTGATTAATATTTCAGACGTATGGTAATAATTTAATGTTTTTTAGATCAACTCGTAAATATCCTCAAAACGATGGAACAACTGCATTAAAAAAATCTTTATCAACCGATGATGCTCAATTAAAATCGACACCGTTAACAAGTGGCATGTATAGTCTTAGCGGTGAATTAATAGCCGTTACACAATTGATTCATCCGATTAGTAATATCATTCATTTAAATGTCAATGATAATTCAATGTGTTCCTATCTACAAATTGTTAATGCTTGCATATGTCCACTGCTATGTCGTACAGGAACAACAGTTTTCCTTCCTCATCTTCTTCCTCCATTGTCATCAACGTTGATTGGTCTTGATGCAAGAAATTACATATTCGATATTGACTCATCATCATCATCATTAACAATGTCAACAAAATTATCTTTTGCCTTTTTTCCATTAAATAATTCTGTGCAAACATCATCAATGACAAATTTTCGGACGAATTTGTTGACACTCTATTTTCAATCTTTAAGTACTGTTCACTGGAGTAGACCAATTCGAATGGATGAGCAAGCTGAAGATGTTTTCTTGCCAATACCAGGTAATATCGTAAATAAGTTTTTTTTTGATACAATATATTAACAAAACGCTCTTTTACAGGTTTGCACGATGTTCTTATTCGTTATCCGTCTGTTTCGTTGTGTTCAAGTCGTACAATTATCATTGAACCTGTTCATCGTCAACGTGCCGTAAAAACTACAAGCAAAACGGCTGGTTCAATACGTCGTTCTCTCAAACATTTCGTATCATCTAGGCCTCCATCTCCAACTCAAATAATGACCATATCTGAAACGACGTCTACATCTCGTCATTATCGTTCAGCATCCGCTTCTGCATCATCAATTACCGTTGAAAGTGGTTCACAATCCGATGATGATGTCATCACACGTCCAACATCATCCGATCTCAGTTTAAGTTCGTTGTATGCTAAATTATGGTCACCACCACCATCATCTACACAACAACAGCAACAACAAAAACAACAAGTTAACACTGATCAAAAACATGTCTATCTCACATTTCAATTAAATAAGTTATCATTATTGCTTCTCGATGAATTAACAAATATTCAAATATACAACGAAATCGTACGAATAACCATTGATCAGATTGATTTACATTTTTATCAACGATTAAAATGTCAAGATTCATTAAATCAACAACAATTACTACTTACATTTGAACAATTACAAATTGACAATCAATTATATAGTCCAAAACAAGCGTATGATTTTCCCGTAGTTCTTATGTCAAAAGATAAATTAACAAAAACAACACATACAAAGAAAAAACAAATAATAACACCAGATAATAGACTACCGAATGATGATATGAATGAGAGTTCATCAAGGTAATAATTATAATTATAAAAACTAAAATGCTAGTAGGATGCTATCTACTTTATAGAAGAATTTTGCATATTTTACTTCATTCAAATGTCCTCTGACAAAATTTTTTTTTATCTTTTAGTTTATTACCTATCACAGCAGTAGCGAATTCTCCATCAAGGTCAGACTCATCTTTAACTCGTCATTACTCATCTTCATCAACAGCCACGTCAGATACGGTCTTTCCTCGTCGAACAAATAATCATTCAATAATGGTGTTGACATCTGATACTTGTCCATCAAGAATGCGTCGCGAACGAACAATCGATTTGAAACGTTCGCGATCATTTTTCTATTTTAATTTACATCGTTTTAATTCGCGTTTAATTAAAATTGATTTAAATTTGAAATCATTTGATTTATGTATTGAAGATCATTTTATCTATGCTCTGCTGGATGTATTTAGTCATTTATTACCATTAAATTTGAGACTAGCTGAACATGAAGAACAACGAAAAATAATAGTTGAATATATTGATGATCGTCTATCACATCCGTTTATTTGTGAAACTCTAATCATCGATGTTGTCGATGTGACACTAAGTATTCATGCACAAATGAAAATGTATATTGGATGTAATCAATTGCCAATGTTTATCGATAAATTTCATCGACAATACTTATATGTGACACGAAAACAAATTTTATCATTGTTAACAAGACATTATCTATTGTCATTACTAACACGAACACCATGGCTATTAGGTTCATTTGATCTCTTAGGTAAGAATGTAAACAATTATATATTGAATTATAGATCATCTACTATCGAATTATCATGTCAGCCTATACTAAGATGAACATGTGTGTGAATAGCCTAGTCTATATTATCTGCTCTTAGAATCCATATTGTTTTTAATGACATATGACGCTTCTGATGGTTTTTAAGTTTTTTTTTTCAACAGCTTTTTCAAAAATCGTCTGACTTCAGTGAATTTTGAGTAACCCATAAATGCAATTTCGAGAACACAATTTTATTGTTTAGCTCGCAACAACTCGCATTGTTTAGCAAGAGTCAGAAAAGACTACTTTTTTCAAATCAGAGTCAAGCTATACATAAATGAACTTTGTTTCAGATCGTAGCTGTAGTTAGTTATTGAGACAGGTTTCTAGTATAGGAGGAGTCTTAAAATCTAAGTTAAAGATTATGACACTTTAATATTACTATAGAATGATTTTTCTATTTCACAAGTGTACATCTGAGGAAATCAATTTTCAAGTGTAAGTCAATCATTATTCAGTATTTCTACGACGACATGATCAAGATGATCGATGCTTACTGAATGATTACGATTATGTTAATTGCCTTCTTTACTAGATGATTTTTATTGTTTATTCTTCAACTTTCTCTTCAAGATACTTCTTATGGTTGTTGTGTAGAACAGGTACGAGTACTTGTGAGTACTTGATGTTGTGAAAGCAACAGCGTTGTAATTTGTTGAACAAAATATGCATTCATGGGCCATGATAGCATGACCTCATTCGGCGCAGATTTTGATACTCTATAAAGTGAAGCGAATTAAGATCTAATGCAATCTCACAATTCTCAAAAAACTTTAAAATATCTGGAAAAGTACTTTTGCTTGGCACGCAGAAGTACTTTTGTGATTATTTTGAGTTTATGTGCGTTAAGTAAAAGCTACTAATGGACAAAAGCCACTTTATAGAGCATCAGAACCTGCGTCGGATGCGGCCTATGAATGCATAGTTTGCTCAACAAATTAGAATGCTGTTTCTTTCACAACATCAAGTAATCATAAATACACATATCGGCTCTGTTGTCGTGAATTTTCTCTGTCGAACGAAGCTTTGTGCTCATTTCTGTTTGATTGATGCATCTTCTTAGATGAAACAAGTTCCGAAAATTATATCAACGTAGAATAAGGGTCAAAAATAAAAACATCTAGTATTCTGTTGAATTGTGATAGAGTTTACCTTGATCAGCTGCTTTTAAGAGATGTAACAATTAGACAATTGCCAGTTGAGCAAGTAATTGAAGTCTTTTCAGAAATACTGCACTTTATCAACTGAGCGGTTTATGCCTTAAGGCTCTATTATTGCTATCTTTTTCTTTATCCCACTGGCACACATGGATCAACGTATTTATTACTAAATTTATGTCTCTTCCTTCTATTATACACACACACCACTACCTCACTGAATCTTTGTTTTCTATAAATATTTCTTTCATGTAGACTCGTTTTTTCTTAATGAACTTTTTTTTGATTAATCTGCTCTCTTTTTTTGTCTTCTTGTGGGCATACAATGGACCTTGCCTCAACTTACCCACTTCTTATTGCTATGTTTATTTATCAAGTATTTTCTATAGTAAATTTTCAAGATTAAAAAGAAACAAAAAAAACATCAAGTATCTACCTTGAAACTAAATCGAGAGTAAATCTACGAGAAGCTGTTTTTAGAAGATCAGAATGTAGCCGAGAGACTGAACTGTGGAACTAAGCTAGTGTCATCTTTATATGTTAAATGTAAATGCAAATTGTCAATGTCAGATGTGTCTATTTGTTTATTTCCAGGTAATCCATCTGTATTGATTCGTAATATAACAAATGGTGTTTATGATATGATTCATATGCCATATATTGGAATGCGCCATGGACCAAGCGGATTTATGTCAGGCGTGTCAGATGGTGCAACAAGTTTATTAAAACATTTATCATTAGGTAATATTTTCTCATAAGACTGTTACTATCCATTCCAAATCAAAAGACACATCATTGTTTTTTTGAATAATATTTTATGCAACTATTTTATAGTCAAAATCGGAGCATATGACAGCATTAAAATATTTCAAGTTCTTCTGAAAGCTATCAAATAGTATAATGTTATTAAAGAAATAGTGATGCATCTTTGAATTAAAATCGATATTGGATATTTGAAAATATAAAAATTTCCTTCTTATTTCAGGTACATTAACATCCGTTACATCATTTGCCAATAGTATTGCTCGAAACATGGATCGTCTGGCAATGGATAATGAACACTCAACACGTAATGAAGAAACACGACGTCAGTTACCCATTGGTATGACCGAGGGCATGCTGCAAGGTTTAGAATTATTGAGTTTAAGTTTATTGGGTGCCGTGGCGGGTTTGGCTGAACAACCGATGCAATCGTTTCGCAATCGTCATCGTGGCCAGACGACCACCACTGTTTTGTCTGGCGTGGGCAAAGGTCTCGTCGGAATTGTAGCAAAACCAGTGGGCGGTGTGGCACAATTAATTTCACAAACTGGACAAGGTATTCTATATGGAAGCGGACTCGTTTATATACCACATCGGCGTTATCGTCAAATTGAGTTGCGTACAACCAATTCTTCGACAAGTCGTTTAAAATTTAGAAATAATATACAATGTAAGCGTAAACAGCGTTTCTTTTTTTTCTTGAAGAGTTCATAAATTTTGGAAAGTAGTGTGTAGTTAAATATTTGTTTTTGTTTTAGCCACGGATGAGATACTTGATGCTCTCGATTATATTCAAGAAGAAAATTTAAATGAACAAGGTTCAATGTTATTAACATCAAACGCATTAATTTTATACAGTAAAGATGATGAAAATGAAAAAGTTAAATATTCTCTTGCTGATATTGATCTGATTAAACCTGCTGATTCTACCACCATACTCTCAATTGTACCTGCATCTAGTAAAACAATCCATACTGCTATAAATCATGATTTAATCGAAGCATTTGTGAGGAGTCAACAACAGCCAGGTATTCATACTGAGCGTCAAGAGCAACACCAAGATCGTTTATCATTTTATGTTGATTCTCGTTTACGAAATGATTTTATATCGTTATTCCATTGTACAAAGAACCAACTGTGATTAACTGATTTTTCCATAATAATTTTTTTATGTTTTAGTCTTTTTCTTTTTGTTAAATATTTATGAGTTTGTTTTTTATTTTATTATTGTTATTGATTCAACAGGGTTGTTGTTTTTTGCCATAACAAAAGGGTTTTAAAATTGATATTCATAGTAAATTTTTCGACAAGTATTTGAATAAGAAATTCTCAGTCTTTTTTAAGAAGAGAAACTTTCCTATTCAATGATAATGGAGATTATAGTTTGCTACCCGGTTGTATGCCCACTGCTTCTTTTTCCGTGACTACAATGGTAATGATTTTTGCTAAATTATTAGGATTTAATTTAATGAGAATAATAATTCATTTTGAAATTATTACTACTATCTGCTTCAGCTACTGCTTTGAACATCGGCTAATTTTTGACGATGGAAATGTCTCTTCTATGATATTGATACCATCTTTATTATATTGATCAACTAGTTTTTCATTATTGGCTTTATACCATTTAGTTTGAGATTTGGGATTTCTACCGTATGAACATTCAATTTGTGGTTCAGTTTTTGTTTCATCCTTCCTCTCATGGTCAATATATTGTTTTTCATGACACGATGAAAATCGAGGATTAAACAAAACGTTCAACCACAGCTGTGGTGTTCAACTTCTTTTTATCTTCTTTACTCATTTCGCCTAAAAAATAAAAATAAAATGGTAGACGTAGTGGTGAACTACGATTTATATGGCCTAGTAGTACTGTATATGTAAGAAAAAGCCATGTCGTGTCTGTCAAGCATAATCTAATGATATAGAAAATATAAGATGCAGAGACAACTAACTTGCAGTGAAATTTATTTTCGACCTTTTTATACACCATTCGATAGAAGAAATAGCGCTTATCACGAATATGTTCCTCGATATTTTTTTGACATTTTTTTCCGGTCGAAAAACTCAAAATACCGAAAGGATGTCAAAACACGGAAAAACGTAAGGTTTCAAAAAAATAGCCGTAGTTTTTTTGCGTTAGGGTTTCAATTTTGCAAATCTATCACAGGTTGCCCTAGTAGAGCCAATATTTTCACGTTGTGAGATTCGCTAGATGCTTAGCTTCAAAACTATATAAACAATTTTTTAAAATTCCTTTTGGTTGCTAAGAAAAAGCATTTTTTCTAAAACCGAGGCGAAAAAGTCGGAATTTTGCCCATAATTCCCATTTTTCTCAATCGGAACTCAACTTTTGAACAATAAAAATATCATATCCAGTATCAGGATCAAAGACTGGGTCGACTGTTGTGTATTTCTATCCCCTCTTTTAATAGCTGGTAGTGACTTAATTATAAATAAAATCATAAAAACATCTTCCGTAAACTGCTAAATCTTTAATTGAGCGGTTTAATCATGTTAAACAATTCATAGTATACCCTGATTTATGAACAATACATCAACAATCAATCGTGCAGAAAAAAACAGCAAAAATTTTAAAAAAAGATTAAACCTGCTTGATAACAAAACATCGACGATTTTGTCAATAATTATTCGAATTCAACTTTACTTTTTCTGGAGGCCATTTTTTATATTTCACAGTTGCATTAGTCTCGTTCTCTTTGTCACTTGAATATGATGTACTGAAACTTGTTGTCAAATGAAAACTGGCTAATTTTTCTAAAGTAGGTAGTAACACTTTATATTTATGGAATACTCATATCCTTTTTACTTACCAATAACATCCTTCATATGTTCATTATCTAATTTTAACGATTTATCATCAGATAATATCACTGAAGATAGTTTTTTTCTAGCGGTTGATAGCCTTAAATATGTCAATTGATCCGATTTTTTAATAAAATACTTTAATCGAATTAAATGAATCTAAATAAATAATTAATAATTAAAGGAGTAAACTTAAGATGAATTTTTCAAATAGATAAAAATTAGTTACAGATGAATTGTACGACAAACAAGAAATTGTGTTTGACTGTTCAGATTTGATTAATGAATCTAATAAAATAAAATAAAAAATGAAAATTCTAAATGCAAAATTTTTTTATAGGATATTCGAAATACCTTTCTGTTCAATTACGGAAATCTCCTCTTGTTTTTCAACATTGTCTACCATATCTCTCACGTGTTCATTCATGTTCAAACAATATTTCAGAAAAAATTTTGCATCATCGAAACGTGTCTGAATTGTATTGAAATGATTAACAGCGATTAATAATTGGTTATATAAATTGTGTGAAATTTTTTCCAATTTCTTTTCTTCTTGAAGGATTCTTTTATAGTTATAGATGTTGATAAACCAACAGATCAAAGTTAATGTTAAGAAAAAAAGAAATATGCCAGAATGTACTAAATATATTGTCAACATTTCGATATACCTTTGAGAAGGTTAATAGATTAAACAGTATATACAAAAATGTTACACAAGATAAATTAAATATCGATTTTTTGATTACCGTGTCAAACACAGACCATTAGATAAATTTATACTAATAATTTTTATTGTGTTTTGTCATATGCGAACAAATTTTTTCTCTTCCGTGCATCTAAGTACCATTACCATTCTGTACGAGAATACTACTATAATCCTCTCTAATAGCGCGATATTAAGCGTTTAAATGAACGTGTGACTATTCTGCAGCGCTGATTTTTTTCATAATATTATTTAATATTTCAGTTCTATACAGTTAGACGCGATTTCAATAATTCTGAAATGATATCATTCATATAACTAGTGAATGGATCAATGACTACGGCAGATCTTTATGATTCAGCCGTATTCATTGGCACCTTAATCTGTATGGGATCGATTCAAGGGTTTTCCATCGGTTGATAAGTGTGGAGACGGTAAATCGAGTTGTTAAGCCGACTGAGTGAACTGTCGGCTTATTGCTTTTCTCCAGAGTCCACATGTTCTTCTTTAAGTAGACTGATTCTTTCTTTCTTTCTTTCTCTCTCTACACCTCGAGCGCGTTTTTCTGCTCGTCGATCTTCGGTAATTTTAAGTAATAGAAAACTGGGACAAAACAAGAGAATATAAAACTCACAATGAATACGTCACATCCACGATTGTTTCTGCATTACACTTTTTCGTTTTCTCAGGTATATGCCCTAAACAGGGCCGCTCAAAAGTTGGAACTTAGAAACTTTCCACGATCGAGATAATTCACACGTGATTAATTATAGTGTAACAGAGAAGAAGGGAATGTTATACATACAGACAGAGAACACTTGCCGTCAATAGCATGAGTACAGTAGAGACTTATTAAGATACTTATTTCTCACAAACGTTCACTCAGTCGGCTTCCAATCTTCGCAGAGCGCAGTTGGCATCTAGTTCTCTTTCTTCTCTCTCCCGTCCAGCATCAAATTGTTTTTTTCTATAGTAGCACAAGTACAACTATCTCAGATGGACGATCTAGACTATTCTATAGATTTATCAAGTTTTAAGTGTAGAAATACAATTCATTTTATACAGAAACCATTTTTTTTGTCTCTTATCGACAGAAACACAATATGGTGAAAGTAAGTGAATTTTGTTTAATTTATGTTTGAAGTACTAAAAGACTATAGTTATGTTAGTTTGAAATACCAGAAACCTCATTCCTAATACTTCTTTCCAATTGTTCAAGCTATTTATGAAATTTTATTTCTGTTCTAGTTAGCAACTAGAATGGATACTTGTACTTTAAGTACATTTCAAGTACTTTGATTCCTTGTAGTGCGAAATCTCGCATGAGCCAGAAAGAATAGACGTGTGCTTTTGCGTTTTGTTGTTGAGCGAACGATTTCAATTTGAAAAGAATAAATCTATGGTCTAGTCTCTTGAAATATTTTTTCCGTTGTGATCAATGAGAATTCCTATTTCGAATTTTGTCATATTTTTAACCAAGCTCCTTCTACTCTGGTACTACTTGACGGTGCGTCAAACAGGAAGGACGATTAAAAAAGTGGATAAAAATTCTACTTTTTTAGTTTAATTCCTTTCTTTCTCTATATACTTTAAGATTTATTCGACTGCTTGTTTTTTATTGCCATGCTATATATCTTTTTTGTTCTTCAATAGATAATTGCTAAACGTCCAAATGGTAAACCAGTTCAAATGGAAAATGTTTGGGTTAATTTAACAATGTTATTTGAAAATGAACAATAAAAGTCTGTTAAAGTTAAAGATTTATATACACGTGGCCGTACCGATGTTGGTTTATTCAATGTTAAAATCTCACAAAACTGTTGGAGTTTTACTCACAGTAACTATTTTAAAAACATATTTTTGTTTCGATCTTAAATTGATTTTATTTGTCTTTTCTTCTGATGGACAACATTATGGTTATCATACATAAGAAATAGTATTGAGACCCGTTCCAAAACGTTGTGAAATTGGCGGAAGATTAACAACTGAAATGATGACTATCAATGAAATAGGGTCAAAACAACAACCAGAATTAACATCGGTTATTTCGACCATGATTGCATCTGTCGTTAAACCAACTTGATTTTATATTCAATTCAGCAACATCCAGAATCCTTAAATATGAATTATGTTTTATTGGTATCGTTTTTATAAAAGAAAAAGTTTGTCATATTAGTACCTTTAATGTCATTCCGCGATAATGTTACAATCAATCGTAAATTAACCCTTTATTTACCATTGCTCGACCATGATAGCTAGGGACTTCTAAATTTGTATGATCATTGGTCTCGCCAAATGCTGATCACCCACAAAGTTTAGGCTTCTTTTCCTAGATGGTTCGTGAGATGTAAGAGTTTCATTTCTTTCTCGTAAAATGCTAATAACTCCTGATCCAAGAGAAGTGAAAAATTTTTCTTTTTACCGAAGTGTAGCCCAGACTCTCTTCTATCTTTGATATGAATTTGAAATGTTAGCTCTTAATAGTTACTGGAATACAGCTATTTGACGACTGAGGATCACTTTTGAAGTTTCAGTCCCTCTTCCAAAAAAATTCATAACTCAATCTATTTCATATTTATAAATTAAATAAAATAATCAAACTAATTCATATATTTTCATATACTTTCAATCATCGATAGAGGAGATGCCTGTGTATGCCATAGACAGAAGATTTTATCAAAGTTTTTAGTCTCAAGGTGTCATAAGTAATTTTAAAATTAATTTAGCGCATAAAATATATTCAAATTAATATTCTATATAGTGTGAAGCCAATATGATAGCTTATCCACTGGAATAATGAGCTAATTTTCACATATGTGATAGATTTCAGCAGTCTGAAGAACTTTGTCACTTGGTCTAATACCAACTTCGGCTTCTGAGAGACGGTAGACGTTTGTCTCTGAGCATCCCGTGTATTTCAGTGGAGTGTCTCTATTTACCACGAAGAAATTACACGAGTGTCTCTAATTACCCTAAAGCATAAAAAAAAATAAAAATTCTGGTGCTGTTGATTATATGCTAATTAGCTTAATGAGTTTAAATGAGTGTCTCTGAGATCACTATACATCGACTGTTTTATCTAGAACTTCTCATAAAACTTCCCAGCTCAAACAATCCTACCGTAGGATACAAGATTCTTACAAGATCTTACAAGATACTACGTAGGATCCTACCAAATCCACGTAGGATCTTGTAGGAAAGACGAAAGACGGATTTATCCTACAATTTCCTATCGTAGGATCCTATCAGATTCTTCATAAGATCTTATACGATCCTATGCAGGATTTCGTAGGAATTGATAGGATCTTACGTAGGAATTCCACGAAGTCTTATAGTCTGTAGAATCTCGTAGGAACTTGTAAGATCCTACATAGGATTCAATGACCTGGGTTCGAGTGAAAAGACTCGAAATGCTTATTAATGGAAATGCAGAAAAATTCCACTGAGTAAGTAAAGAAATTTACTGCCAGAGACCTTGAAATATCTTGACTGAGTTCATTCAAGATTTTAGTAACAAGAAGTGTTACTAGTTTACCTCTGTAATAAGCAGAGTGTCCAAATCTCCTGATTTTCAATTGTTTTCCTACATCGATTTTAGCGACATTTTGAACCAATAAAAAAGAGGAGAAGAAAAAGAGAACTGTCGTGCAATACAGTCATGTTGTACAAAAAACCACAGACGGTGTAGCAAATAGTTTGTTCTCCATACTGGCTTTGTCTTTTTTGGTTCTTGTCGGTTTCTTAAGAATATTTGTGTCTGTTTTTTTAATTCACTAGTAAATATATTCGATATATTTAATTTAAATCAGTATGACTAAAAATACTGTTGATAAGGGATTACAATTCGATTGTTTTTCGAGAATTCGATTACGAATCAATAAAAAAAATCGAAAAATATCGTCAAGACGAAGCGGAACGAATAGAGTCTACAAGCTTTAACATCTTCATCCTCACGTCAAAAAATTTTGGAATATTAGGCTTTGTGTGAATAATTTATGTTTTAAAACAGCGTGATCAACAATATGACTAGTCGAGGGGTTACTGTAAATAATGGGGTTAGGACCCATGTTACACTTTTTTTCGTAATACCGCCGGTTACCGATCGGTTCATAGATTACCGCTGGTTAACCGTACCGTTCGGTATAACGACCGGTTTTTCTTCTACCGACGGTTACTGCACGGTATTTTTCAGACCACGGTACAAGAAAAAACCGTCGGTAAACCGTTTTGACATAATCACCTTTTTGTTTTGCGGCTGGCAGTCTATATAAGGACCGCGGAAAAGTCAAAAAACTTTGATTCTTTTTCAGATTAAACCTTCTCTTTCAGATTACAGAGACTCGTCGAAGTTTGCACTTCGACTGCAAACTAGGATTTAAGGATTCAAGATTTAACTAGGTTTTCTCGAAGATGTTATTAAATTTCTTGACAGGATCTAAATAGAACAGAAGAGGAATGAACACATAGAGTATCGTTCTCTAGACTTTCTGTTTACATACCAATGAAACAACTTTTATATAAACTTTGAAAAAATTTAGAAAAACTTTTTCTATGGGTTTTTTTCAGATTCGTTCTATTTGTTTATGAAAAGAACCAAATCAAGATCAGGATAAAAATGCCGGTAGATTATTTAGTTCTCAGAATTTTGTCGTGTTTCGAGCAAAACCACAATACCACCTTGAAAAATTCCTCATTTTATTTTTTTGAGATCTTGCTCAACGTTGGTATTGAAATTCTGTTGTGATCTATAGATTAGCTGCAAGCTTTTCTCATATCGACGCACACTCTACTGGGTAATAGACAATGCAACCGTAACTAGGAATTAACAATACGCCTAAAAAAGTGCTTTCAAAAGTATATTTTTAAAAAAAGAAAAAGCGCGTTTAAGCGCTGGCAAATTTTTCGATGCACACTCAGACGCGTCTAGCATAAACGCGTTTAAACACGTCTCCCTCCGACTGAAACATATTTACATGGGACAAATAAGTCCCAAGTAAATTCTCTAACTTTTGTTATTTATATAGGCATGACCAATGATACATCAATCAGTAAGCATTATCGGCTTGCATCAGTTCCTCTGGTTAAAGATCAATAGTCTCATGAGCATACCGGCGGGCAAAATAAGGCAGATAAATTTATCGATCTTAAAA